CTGAATAGCTGAATCAATATACTACAATCCTTCTTCAAATCTATTCATTTTATATAAAGCATTAGCTATAACAATATTTTTCATTTTTACCTTTTTTATAATAATTTTCTGAATTTTAAGAATCTCTATCAATCAAGTAATCTAAAAAGTTTAGCGCGAAAAGATTTATATTTGAATTTTCACAAATATACTTAAAATATTCATTATTTTTTTTCATATTATTAGACACCTGTTTATAAAAATGAAAATTGTTTTTATTTTACTCCTCTTGTCTCTCACTTTTTATCACTTTTTTATTATATTTTTCATTAAATGATTATTTTAGGTATTTCAAACTTTTCATTTATTATTTTTTATTATAAAGATTCCAAATATCCTTATATCTCTTTTTTTGAATATTTAATAACTAAAACCCCTTTTTATTATTTTTTTGCTTTCTGTTGATTATTATACTAAATAATTTTTAACTTTGAATCATCTATTATGCATTTTATTATTGACTTTATATATTAAGATTAAGAATCCTCTCTAAATATCCAAAAATATCAATAAACCAATTGAATGATTAATTTTCAATAGATTTCCTTACTAATTCTGAGTTAAACTTATTTTAATTCATTATTTTTTCTAAACAATTTCTAAATCTGATTATTAAATTTTATATTAGAACTTTTTTGATAATTTTGAAATTTAGAATGCAAAAGAAGATGGGTCATTGAGCTCAAGAATGTAACTTATTAAATTTTATATACTCGTATTAATACGTAAAAGTACATTAGCGCATTATTGTTTTACTTAAAATGTCAATCAAGTTCTAAACTAAATTAAGAAAATAATATCTTAATAGCAGATTATATTGATTAATTTAAAAAATTATTTTATACATATCATACTTCTAAGTAAAAAATAATTATTAACAATATGATTTTGAATTTATTTATTGTGATAATCAAATTCTTTTCTAATAAAAAAATTACCACCTGTAGACTGTTATTAGGTTTTCTTTCTCCTGAAAAAAGGTATGCTACATCAAATTAGTGAATTTAATTGTTGAATATACTTATACACTAGATAGCTTGTGGAAATTATTTGGTTAAAATGGGAATATCTAATAAATTCTTAAAGTTTTGAAAATTAATTTTTTTAATCTCAAAATACTTTTTCCAATTCCTTAAAACAAAAATGTAAATAAAACGAAGAAGTTTAAATTAACTTTATTTTTTATAAATCCCTAATTAGTTATATTGTTATAAACAGATATTCGCATTAGAATTGTTAAACTAAAGATATATTTCTAAAATTCTAAAATAATAAAATTTCAAAAATTTTAGCTTGGTTAATAATTAAATAAATTAACAATATCCTTATTATTTGCAACAATTAATTCTGTCATAATTTTTAATTATATTTTATCATGAAAAAAATATTTTCTTATAAACAATTTGAGACTTTGATTGTGAAATTCATATTTTATGATGTTTATAAGTAATTAATTTGATGAATTAATTACTTAACATAATGAATTTCAAAATTATCTAAAGAAATTTTTTAATTTGATTGAAATTTCATAGATTCACAATTTTAAAACAAGTATTCAACGAAGTTCTTAATTTATTTAAATATTATTTAATTAAGTTATGATGAATTGTTGAACAATTATTATGGGTATCATTATTTAGTTATGTAGAGCCAGCTAAACATTTTTCAACTTATTAGATGTTTAATTCCATGTATAAGTTTAAGAAGAATTAGTATAGTATTTCCGTTAACTTTATCAGTAGCTGAATTAGGTGTGAATGCACAAACAACTTTATTTGTACCATTTAATCTTTCTCCATTACATGCTTCTTGTATTACAAACACATTTTCACCAGGAATATCATCACCACAAGCAGAATTATTTATAAACTCATCTATATCTTCAAATTACATTGATCTACATGATTTGGTTTGTGTAGTTTAACCAATAGGGTAAAGAAGATATATGTACAATCTGCTTCGCCGTAACATCCAGGTCGTATAACTTGGGCAATGTTAAAGAGGATACATTTAGTTCCATTGGTTTTATTGGAACTGTAAATTGGCTGTTAATGGAGCTACAGTTTTTGGTAATTGAGGCTATACCCATAACAGTGTGATAAAAAATATATTAATGATAAAGATTTTAAATATAATTTTATAACTAGTGCACCATCTACTAGATGAAAGACTTGTGATTACTTTTTTTATCCAAATAGTAGTGGTCTTTATTAAAAAGTGACTGATTCAACTAGTTTAACTAAAGTGGCATCACAATCTTGTGCTAATTAGAAAATAGATTCAACTAAGATAGAAGCATAAAAGAAAATCATTATATTGTAAAAGTATTAAGACAAACTGCTATTTTCAAACTAGATGTTAAAATGGCTGTGACAATAATGGAATACATTTGTCACATCATTTATTGCTTGAGGATAATGGGGAAGCGTTGCTCTTACTAGAGCCAACACAAAAAATAATTTCTTTGGGCAAGAATAGGTTCAACTTGTAATGCTGCAGCATGCGAGGTATTCCAAACCCGTAAAGTTAGGGAGATTGTGATAATCAAATCTTTTAAATAAAATAACATCTACACTAGATTGTGCCATCAGTTTCACTGTAGTACCTTGCACACAGAATGAACATAAAAAGATGCTGGTGATACTTGTATGTATGATGCAACTATAAAAATTCACATATTGTAATATCAAAGTTGATACTAAATTTGATAATTGCACTTATACATCAGGTGCATTTGACTATTGAGATTATAATTGCTTTGATATTACTGATTCAACATCATAAATTTGATTTGATTAGGAGCTTTTGATAGGAAATAAACATATATTTTAGAAACCTTTATAATCCAACTTATGGTTGTGCTAAAGTTTCAGCATCTGGAAAAGATTAGAAAGCCTATTGTAATTATTAACATCCTATACCAGTTATAAAGGTATAAATGAATGTGCCAATTTTTTAAGATAAGAAAATAAAAATGAAGCAACTTATAGCAAGAGTTTGAAAGATTCTACAAAAAAACTACGCATTATCAATGATATAAATGCCAAAATGCAAAGCCTAAGTGTATTCAGATAATGATAATGATGAAACTGAATGCACAAATGATGTTAATAGTTGAAAAAAATAATTAAACATATATAAAAAAACTACTAATTGTAGTAGTAGAAATATAAAATTTTAAAGTCATAAGTTTTGTATAAGTACCTAATATATAATCGTAAGCTCTATTTGTCAATTATTATTTAAATAATATAATCCTGCTTTCAAGAATCTTCAAGTTGATTTCTTAAAATTACATCTTAATGACTATATGGATTAGTGATATAGCATTTAATACATGTGTCTTGATCATGTTTTAATTAGGTACATAAGGTTGTATTAAAAACCAAACTTATTCCAACACAAACAAATTCTTGAATCCATACTTCACAAGTTGAATTATCTTGTGCTTGGACATTTTTGAACAGTGTTTTTGTATAAAGTTGTTTCTATAGCTAATGCTATATTTGTTGCAAAAATCTTGGATAAGCTAAGTCTCTTTTTTTCTTTAATTTTTACAATCAACTTTGGTAAAACAAGCATCCACTCTATTTTATATGTAGTTAATTTGTCTAATTATATCGATTTTTTTATAAATAAATTATTGAAAATTGCAAAAACATGATATTTACTATCTCAAAACAAACCAAACATAATCCCATCGTACTCACTCTATTTGCCCAAATTCAGAGTAGTTAAAATTATAGAGATGGATACAAGGATGCATTTTGAATTAACTTCCCAACAATCGCCATAATATTCCAAAAAACAGTAATGATTAGTAAATTTTGTTTAATAAATGCATTCATAAAATATTGTTTTTCCATATTGATTTATAGAAGCGAATTTATGCAAGATTAGGAAGAAAATTATCAATATATTATTCTCTCTAAAGGAATTGGTCTTGAATTAATCTTCCAATCATCTCAATTCCTCGATTTTTACAGATTTCAGTTTAAATTTAACGAAAATATTATAGAATGCTAACCAATAGATAAATTAATCTTAGATTTCAACCATTAAATCTTTTTTTAATTTATATTTAATGATTCTTTTACCATCAAATTAACACAGCCAAAGTTATATTAATATTTTGAATAAATCAAAAAAATAAATTACTAATTGAAAATAATGTAATTATGAATATTCAATTCATTTTTTGTTACTTTTCTCCCTAACTCTTCCTTTCTTTAATTATATTCATAATTTAAAATATTATTATTAGATAATTCTAATTAATTTATGAAAATAGGATTTGCTGACTTTTTAATTAGTTTAAATAAATGAGAGAGAAATTTAGCAATTAATCGATTTAATTAGTCAATTTGAATCCCTTTGTATTTCAAAATACAAACTCTTACCTACCCTTCTACTTCTATTAAAAATTATGTTTGATTAAATTTTTATAAAATCTTAATTTTTTATTCATTTATTTATCATTCCCAACCTAATTGGATTATTTTGTAATCTTCATTTTTATTGAGTGACTTGAAAATTTTTGGCTGTTTGGTTAAATAAATTTGTATTAAAGTACCTTAATTTGCTCCTCGTGTAATTTCTATATTGATAATTATAATGGCCAAATCTAAGGTTAATGAAATAAAATTCTATTGATTATAGTATCTAAATTAACCATAGTTATATCATTTATTCAATATCTTCTCTTTTAGCAAAATATTTTAATCATAATTCCAACTAAATATTCTAGTTATGTAGATTAATAGTTTATCATTTCAAAGGATATATAAAATGATGAATTATAAGTGAATTCTTTTTCTTTGTCATTATTAAGTAAATTATTCTGAAAGCAAAAAATTCTTTAAACCCAGGACTTATCAATTTTTTTCAAAAGAAAACTTCTTGAGTTAATAGTCCATTTTCCAAGCCATTAAGTCAATTATTAGTTGACTAGTATTAATAGAAATTATTTTTTTTCTATTTGTAAATTTTGAGAAAAATCTATAAGAGTGCAAAGTATTGTAAATTTGATTTACTTGCTAATATTATTTCAGTAATTATTAAATGAAAATCTAAATGCTTTAGAAAAAAAAAGTTAATTTTGTCAGACTAATTTTTTAATAAATCTATTTTAAAACATAAATTACTCTATTTTTTTCTAAATAATGATAACAATTCATTAATTAAAAATTGTTATGAGACTAAATGATTCAAGACAAATTTGGAGTATTTATTTTTTGAGAATCAATAAAACTTTAAATACTATAAATCAGAAGGTGAAACTTTTGATCAATTATATTAAATTTTCGATAGGTGTATAACACATAAGATTTATCATAACAAGTTACTCCATCAAAATTAGAATTTGATTTATAGAATGTATTGATTTAGATTTCTTTTGGTATCTCATTTATAGTTATGATAAGCATGTAAACCGAGATAATGCTAAAAAAAATTCTCAAGAATAAATGGCAAAATATTTACTATTTATGAAGAAGCTCAAATAAAATACATGAGAAATCAAGGACTTTTAAATTTAAAACCTAATGATATTGAAAAAATTCTTCCAACTTTAATATGCCCTCAAACGAATCATGTATCTATTTTAACCATAAGCTTTCTGAAAAAGCTCAAGTCTGATAAATACACTACTTGGAATATTTCTTATACGTTATATTTGTTACTTAAGGGTAGAATATCGAGTCATATTTTACATATAAGTCTTGGTAGATATATGGAATAAGCGATGGGATTCTATAAAAAACACATTAAGAAATTTAAATCAAGTTGTTTTCTGAAAAGTATCACACGTAGTTTTTTTCTTGAATAACTCAATAATAATCTCCATAATTCTTACAGAATAGATGATTTTAATGACGAATGCACTATTGTTAAAAGTAAAATTTTAAATATTCTTATACCTATATTGGGCTTACAAGATTAAAAACAAAAATTACACAATTCTATCTAGATAATATTTTTCAAATAATTCGCTACAAAAAACAAAGTTATGTATTCTATATAGTATTACTTAATGTCTTCTCAGCAATAAATCCCAAAATATGAGAATTCTTTTCTTGCCATATTATAAGTATGACATTTTCTTATCTCTCCTCTCAACCTTCTAAATCCTCATATTCCATTTTTAATATATCTATGACAAAATAATTTATTCCTTCTCTTTTGAATCATTTCTTTGAGAATGAATCAAATTCTGAACATTATTCATAAATCTCTAACTTAATTATGGAAAAGATGTTTTAATCATCTATTTTTGTATTTCTTGATTTTTATAAAGTTGTTCTATAAATTTTACCAGTTAAGGTTTACATAATAAGTTAAATTTTTAATCATCCTGCAAAACCACTTTACAATCTTATTTAGTGACATTCCATTAATTAAAATATAACAATAATAAATTTTTAACTAATATTTTCTAGAAAAAAAATATGTAAGTTTAGTATGTTTTTATTTATTCAATAAAACCATATTGTTTAGATTTCATGATTTTATTTTAGTGAATGCAATCTTTTATTCAATAATGAAAAAATTAAAATTGTATTAGAGTGCACCATTTTTTATGTAACCTATAAATTTTTGGATTAAGAAATTATCCAAAATAAGAATCCTAGTGCATTATTTAACAAATATAAACTATATTATTTCATAATTAGTTTATAGCAAATGATGTAATAATGCATAATTTAATTTGGCAAAGAATGATCTTAATTATACTTCTCCTAATTTTAATTCTCTTAGATCTCATTTTTGTTGAATTCATTAATATTTTGATTTTTCATTTTTTGTTAAGCACTAATCAAAATATAAACTAAATAACCAGAATGATTTTATTAATATACATAGCAGACAATTTAAATATAATAAATGAAGAAAAAGGATAATATTATTTTTGAAATAATTTGGATATACTAGCAGAAAATTTAAAAACATAAGTTATTAAAATTATTTATTGTTATATCATATCCTTAAACTACTATTTAAATTTGAATATTTCCTTGATAAAGTTAAATTATTGACAAAAATCTTAAGTATTATTATGATTTAGACTGTTAGTGAGTAAAGGTTAACATCAAAATAAATGATGCTTTTATGATGTCTATTTAATTTAGGAATTCTTGCTTATTTTTTAACAATATTTATTAAACTTTATCAAATTTCCATTCAGAAGAGAATGATAAGTTAAGCATAGTAAAAAATTAATGTTAAATTTTCTTTCAATAATAAATTAAAATGTTATACTATATAACATAGATGATGAAATTGCACTGTTTAGTATATAGTTTCATTTATTCAATATAAAAGATATAAAACTCATAATTACTAATGATCACCTTTTTAATTTTTCTTATAAGCCTTAAAAAATGCCGTTGTCTCTTTATAATCATTTCATGAACTGGAAAAATTATTTAATTGGAATAATCGGATTCTATGAAATATAGATTGTTAATTTTTAAGTTATTAAGCAATTTAATATTGATTTGGTTTGATTTTTATATGTTCTAGTCAAGAATTTAGGAATAGAAATTGGAACAATTTCAATATAAAATATTCTATTGAGAGAGAATCTTTAGATTTCAAAAGAGTAATTTTGTTTTGTCTTTATTAACAATTTACGTTGAAAATGTTTAGATAACAAATAATTAATATTAATTTTATCTAAAATTTTTTTGCATTCTTATGTAGTTAATACTATAACATGTGCTACTATGAAAATAACAAAAACAGTTTAAAATATTCTATAAAATCTCTTTTTAAATATTCAATCTTATAAAATTGTTGTAATTAATTTAACAATTAATAATCATAATTGTTAAATTAAGAAATATTGTTTATGTATTATTAAATACATAATTATGTAAATAAAGAGAATGTTAATAGTTTAATTATTAAAATCCTTAAATGTAAAATATGAAGGTGCATTTTAAATATGGTAGATTGATATTAATTTTAATGTTATAACATAACAATTCTTACAATCCATCTAAAATATTAATAATTATTAAAAAATATTTGAATCCTTAATAGCATCATCAGATTTCTATTGTAATAACTGTATCCAGAGTATTTTTGAAATAAATACGATTAAAGAAGGATAAATTAAGCTAGACTAGATTTAAGTATCTTAAGTTTAAAATAATAATATATCATTAATTACAAATATTTCAGGTTGTATAAGATTAAACTCCTGAAATAGTATATTAAATCTTTCAAGAAAGAATAAATAATTTTAGAATATTAGCTTTTATTTTTACAATATTCCCATCACAAATTCAAAATATCTCTAAATATTTGAAATATATTTCTCTGATTTTCTGATGAATCAATTGTTCTGTTTGCAATTTTCTCTTTCAAATATTCAAACTAATTTCTAAATGTCATCTAAATAAACAATCATTTAGAATGAAGAGTAATGGATGTAATATTTTTTCATATAGAATAACATTGAAAGTATCTGAGATTGCTTTTTAACTCAATAAACTAATGCCTTATATTATGTTTCGAACTGTTAAAAAGGAGTTATTATAGAAGGGTTATACATTTTTCCCTTTATGAAATTCATAATATTATTAAACTCCTTCTATTTAATACTTACTTATAAAACATTCAACTGTTTATTCTTTTAATATTATTGAAGTAGATTAAGATCTAGGTATTAAAAATATTATGTCATTCAAATATGTAAACATCTTAAAAATTTAACTTCTTAATTCTAATCCTTTACAATTTTATTTATTCCATAAAATTTACTCATTATTATCCTGATAAAGTTTTAGCAATTGTGTGTCATAAAGTATAATAATCAAAATTTAATTAATTATTACTCAGAATAATTTAAGAACTGAATTATTAATAAATTCAAATCTATCTATCAATAGTTATAACTTTTACAGAAGGAGTTGATATTTATTCTAAACTAATAATTATAATGAAATTTTTTCAATTTTCACCTAATCCTTATAATATCCATTATCAATATCAAAGATAAATAAGTACAGATATAAATATATATGATCAAAAAAAGTAATGAACAAATGAACGAGCAAAAAAATTTACAATAGAACTAGATGGGTAAGTCAAATATTCACTTCCAAAAAGCTTTTCCTAAGCCAAATTCATAATCAAGATATATAAATTTTTAATTATTTACTCTATTCAATATTTCTTGTATAATATGTATTTATATGTATATCAACTTATATTTCAATTCAAATAATTTTCTTCATCCCTAAATAAATTAATGTTTAAAATTTACAATATATTGTCTCCAAACATTTAATACCATATGCCAACTTTTTTTCCAATAAGATATTCAACACAATAAAAGACTTATCCATACCTAATAGATATTTTTCTCAATTTTACTCATAAAATCCCTCGATTTCTTCGATCCACTTTCCGACCTTAATCGAATCACCCATATGATTATCTTTTAACTTTTCATATTGTCCTCCTCCACTTTAGCAAAACACATGAAATTTTATTTGGAGAAATATTAATAACTATTACATCAAATCATCCTTATAAAATATATTCCTCTTCCTACTTTTTTACCGTTTTCATATTCCCCTTTATAAGTGACTTCACTATTGCTAATAGCGATAATTAATCCCAATAAATTACCTCTTAAACCCATCACTCAATTCAATCCATATACCTGTCTTTAATGAACCCAAAAGATTTTAATCATTAATTTTTTCAACAAATGAACCACGACCACTAAATTAAGAAAAAAAATGTTATAGTAAAATACATCAATTGAATTTTTTCAGCATCATCATCAAAATAATAAATATCCCATTACCCTACTTTAATACCATTTTAGTATTCACCATTATAAGTGATTTTGCTATCTCTAATAAACTAAATTAAATGCAATACCTCCAGAACCCTTCACTTAACTCAATCCACTTGCCTATCTTAAGTGAATCTGAAACAGTATGACCTTCTAGATTTTTATCATAAGATCCTCCACCACTAAATTCAGGAATCAAGAGTTAATAAAAATAATTACATTATTTCAAAAGGTTTATTATTTCTTATTCTGTGTAATGTATCCCATCTACCAACTTTTCTCCCATTTTTATAATCACCGATAAGTAAAACTTAAGCCAAACTTAGAAAATTATTATTAATAAAAAATAGTACTCCCAAAACTTATCATTCAACTCAATCCATTTCCCAACTTTGATGGAATCTACAATTTCATCCTTGTCATATAGTTAATTATATCATCCGCTAGCACTAAATTTATTTAAAATTTTCAATTTACATTTATTTTAATTATCTCTACCCGTTCCCTTTATATAAAACATTCCACAGACCAAATTTTTTACCACTCTTATATTCACCTTCATAAATGACTTAACTTTAACTATTAATTAAAATTCAAAATTTCTTTTTACTTCCAAAAGTTATCACTCAGCTCTAGCCATTTACTATTCTTTTCACCTTACTCATTATATGAACCTCCACCTCTAAACAACTAATAAATTGAGAAATACATTTCACTATTTTTGTAGATATACTTCCAAATTCCGCTTCTTTAATTATCAATGTAGAGCCCAACATCAAAAATTTGTGCTTCACTTAATTTCGATTTATAACTAAATTCTACCTCCAATAATTTTTTGATAAATCTTTCCATAAACCTTACTTCTATCCACACTGAGAGTATTATCCACCAACTTCTTAAATGGTTTCATTATTCCAGTCAGCTGTCCACCTACCTACTTTCAAAGAGTTCTGCCCGTATTTTCCAGACCACTTAAGATTATTAATCTATTCTAAATTATTAAAGATTTCAGGTTTTTAGAAAGAATCAAGTACTTAATCACTGAATATGGGGGATAAAAATACGTTCTAAGAATCTATCCATCTTTAGTGTACTTGATTTTCTTTTCTTTAGTAAATGTAATTTAGAATTTAATAGTCTTATACTTTAAGTAACCAGAATCCCAATATGTAAATTCATGTTCTTAAGTTATATTTTACCATTCATCATTTCCATTTTACATAGTCTTTTACTTTGCCCTTGTATATATATAAAATTAATTGCTCTACTTGATTTTTATTTAGCCAGCCCTTGTTGGTTTAAACTAATCAAACAAGGACATTATTTTTAAATTAAAATTTCAATATAAATTTTTCTAATGCCATATAATTCAATTAACAATACTTTTTCGGAAATCATTTCAATTTTTAATAAATGTAGAGGAATGATACAACTGATTTATTTTATACCCTTTATTTCAACGTAGGAAAATAGTTATTAGATTTAATGTCAAAAAATGCAATTTGGGGTTTTTTTTTTAAATTTGCATGTAATAAGTCCAAAACTAACAAATTTCATTTTATTAATTTATTTGTTTTGCTTATGTTGATTATTATAAACTAATTCATGAAATACAAGACAATATTATGCAAAAAGTGAGCTAAAACACTTTTATTAATAGAACAAAAAAATATACAAAGTAGATTGACCTCACAAAATAACAGATTTGATTATCAAGGTTTGAATTTCAAATTTATAAGTAGATTCAAAAGTCAAATTAAACCTTATAGCAATAATAATGAGTTAGCAATGATTTAAAAATTAGAAAAATATAAAGAAACTTATTAAATGTCATATAATCTCATTTTAGAATATAAGCATTTTCAAACTTTATAACAACTCCCTAGTAATTTTGAAATTTTAAAGAATTCTATAAAGAAGATTATTGATATATTTATATTATGACTTAAATCTCTAATGAATTGGCATAATCTGATTGAATCTCTACTTGACCATCACAATATTCATTCAGGAATTTAATTTCTTTCTTAAAATTCATTATCTTATTTAATAATCCATAATGTTTATTTCAAACCTAATCTCAATTTTATCTTTTAAACCTCTAAATTTCAATCGAATAAATTAATCATAGAGGGAACTTATAAATTTGTATTTAAGTATCATACTTAATTCAATTTAATAGTATTTAATTTTCAAATTATACACTAAGTATTTAAAGGAAATAAATGAGAATACTTTCAATAAGGAAATCAAACAGAAGGATAGATAAATAAGAATAATTGAGAATTTACTAGTTATTAGAAAATGGTATTCCTAAATTGTAAGAGATGCCAAAAAATAGAGAAAAAAATTTATCTTTTAGGATAAATAATTAGTCGACTAAACTGTTTAGTCCTTCAATCGTGTTATATTAAACCAAGAATGAAAATAAGGTTATATTGTAAAAGGATGTGAAGAGAGCTTAGATCATAATGTCAATAATTTAATATCCGAAATTTTATACAATAGATAATTCTTTTACTTATGATGTAACATTCAAATGATATTATAAAGATAAATTAATTAATAATCATAACATTGAAAAGATGTTAGACCCATCGCAGTATTTAAAGCTAACCGTATAAACTTTTAATAAAACTCTTATTTGATTTATCAACTAATTTATACAATTTATTTGTTTACTCAAATAATTCAATCAAGTATAAAGAATCAGTTCTAGAATTTTGTCATAGATTAAGCTTTATAAATAACTGTCATTTTTTAATCAAATAGTCTATTGAATTTTTCTATTGTAACTAATGAAGGTAGATATAAGTATTTTTTAAAATATATCAAAATCTTATTAAATTTATGAATTAATAATGAAATGATATATTTATTAATTTATTAAAAATTAATATTTTATATTTTTCAATTAGAATTTTTATTTTTAATTATTTGTTTTGTAAAATCAATATAAAAATAGGTAATTAATATCATTTAAAACACAAGAATTTAGTTTATCTATCAACTTTAAAGTAGATGTGTAATTTTTGAATGGCCTAAATACTAATTATATTAAAAACGGCAAATAGGGAAATTATTAATTTTAAAATGATATAAACTTTTGAAGTAATTGAGAAATTTTATGATTTTCATACTTATAAATTAAAAGAATAAAACCAAATTTATTTAATTTTCAAGCTTATCTAACAATGAATTAATGCTAATACAAATTAATCTTAAGAAATCTCTATAATCCTAAGTGATATGAACTTTAGCAGTATATTTAAAGAGGAACATTATTTTCTTTTCTCTTATCTGCTTCGATACATTTCTCCTAATTTTTAGTCTGTCCATTTCAATCGAAGAGTAAATTTAGGTTAATCCCCATAGCTTATATCTATCTATATGGATTAAATTAGTACATATAAAAGAAAATATTTGATATTAAAAAATTTTTTTTTAAATCCAGATTTTTCAAGATACTATATTTGACTTAAATTCTTTTCATTAATTCAATTTAAATATCCTTAATCAATAACTAATTAATTTAATTAAAATTTTATAGGTTTTCATAAGCTATCTTACTGCTAAAGATGTAAATAGATTTACTCTTCGATTTACTATTGTCAGTGATTTAATTATTTATAAACCTTCATTTTGTAATTGAATTTTTTGCCTATTCTTTATTTAAACATATTTATTAATTTTTTATAAAATCAGTTTTTAGGCAAATATTCATGTTTATATCAAGAATAATCATTTTATCAAGAAAGCCAATAATTCTATCAAATAATAGTTACATAAAATTAAAAATCATTAAAAGATCTAAATGATAAACTTCAATCTATTATATAAATCTTAAGTTTAAATAATTAAAAATAGTTCATTAAATTTCACAATAAGTTAAATGAAAAGGAGGAATTGTTTCAATTCCTCCTTTTTTGTTCTAAGTTTGATTTTCTGATTGCTGAATTAATTTATATTGATGCTTTACAATTCTTCTACAGAGAATCTAAAATCAAAACCCTTAATCTCTATTCATTGATTTCTCTTTTGTAACTAAATCTATCATAATGAGCAAAGTATTCAACTCTTACTGTTATTAGAAATTAATCAATCAATTAAACCAAAGTTAAATTTTTTTTTCTAATTAAATCATATGATCTAGGGCTTATCAATATATTAAAACTTTTCTACCTACTGCTATCTTTAATTTAGAGTAAAACTATTATCAACTATTTTTGATATCTCTTCTAATATAAGATCTTTATTGATTTATAATATTCATATTAATTCTAAACAATTATTTATAAATAGCAATATAAGGATTATAATAAAACCTTATAATTAATCTTCTTTAATCAATTTTTAATTTAAAACTTCAATTATTTTTTCAACTAATTTGAAAATATTTAAATTATTTCTGTTATTTCAGTTATTTTTTGATTTTTCTCCTTAAACAAAAACCAAATCTATTTCTATATTCCTGTAATCATTCACTCTAAAATGAAAAAATGAATTATGCTTTAGAAAATTTTAAAGGATAATGAAATGTTTGGTGTTGAGAATCATATGTAAACTAATAGTTAGTTTGATTTTTTTAAATGATAATATATAGTATCTTAAAATATATATAAATATATATCTATTTTATAAATTAAAATAATCTTTTATTATAAAAATAAGAATACTAAAATCAATATTAAAGTAAAAATAAAATTAATTAGCTTTTCAATGAAATGCTCTATTTCCAATCATTCTGAATTTATTTCATTTGCTTGCCTTGATGAATTCTGCACTTAATTTAGATTAGGCTGCGTCTAATGCATTACAAATAATATTCATTTTGAACATATAAATAATTTGAAATAAACCCCTGATCTACTTAGTTTTTTATCAGAAAAATCAAAGCAATGCAATAAATTTATTAATCAACTGAATATTCTAAATGAAAAAATTAATGAGATATTTGACTATTTAAATCAGATGATGGGAATAGATTTCTCAATCACAGGTGAAACATTAAAACAGATAAACTCCCAATCTATGAATAATATCATTGCTTAGCTAATTAAATTTAATAGTGAATGCCAACCATTTATTTAATTGGCATCTCAAAACACAGAAATATTAATTAAATGCTTTTCCCAATTTTTTTAATCATAAGAAATTCTTTAAGATCCTCTAGAATAAAATGACTAAATTACTACAAATAATACAAATTCAGAAATATAATTATTTAAATATCAAGTTATCAACTCTATCAAAGAAAACGATTATTGTTTTTCAGTATGTTTTAATCAAGATTCTAGTATTATGATTACTGGATATATGGATGGTATAATAAAAATATTTCAATTTAATTAAGGAAATATTAAAATTTTATAAAGACTCAATGAACATAAGGGTATAGTAGAATGTTTAAATTATATGAATTAGTCAAATTCATTGTTATCTGGTAGTTTAGATAATAGTGTTATAATTTTGAAGATTTATGAAAATAATAAATGGTATGCATAATAAAAATTAACAGAACACAATAATTGGATTCGTTGTATATTGATTAATTAATTTGATGATTTAATAATATCTGGAAGCAGAGACAAAAGCATTAAGTTTTGGAGAAAAGATAATTTATGGTAATGTTCATAAACATTAAATCACCATAATAGTGATATGATGAGTACAAGTTTAAATGAATCTTAGAATTATTTAATTTCTTGTGCTTAAGATGATAATGAAATATTAATAAGTTAATAATAAGAAAATAAAGAATGGATTATTATATAAAAAATTAATTAATAAGGTTAAAGATTATGTTTTATTAGTGATAGCTTGTTTATTGTCTAACCATATCTGTCTTCTAAAATGAATATCTATGAGTTGAATCATTAAACTAAATTATTTAACCAAATCAACGAACTTTAAATTAAAAATGGGAGTAGTTGTTAATTGTTTTTTTGAATCATAATACATTAAATAAAAGTAAATTTTAGTCTGTAAGAATGGATTTAATATCAATTTAATAAAGATAAACTAATAAGCTGAATTTAAATTAATTTAATTTATTGATCTTGGAACAGGAAATGCTTTTGGCAGATTAACAGCAGATGGATAGTTTATGGTAATATGGGATGATAAAACTTAATAAATTTAGATATTTTTATTTAAAGAAATTAAAAAATGATAAATCTAATATTAATAATTTCATTTTTAAATAGTTTAATTTTTTTTTATAATATCATAATGATTAAAATATCATATTGTTTTGATGTATCATAGATTTTAAATTAAAAAATCAATCATTATTATTGAAAAGAGAAATCAATTCATAAATCTAATTATATTTGATTTGATTAAAAGTGATTGAATTATAAGTTAAATTTATCCTTTTTATTCTTATAAATAATATAAAAAACAATTTCTTGAAATCATAAAATTTTATTAAAAATTGTAATAAACAAACTAATACAGTATTGTTATTTTTGTTTAATATGGAATTTTTAATCTTATTAAACTAGAATTTGTGCCTGGATAAGTTTCCCCTTCTAATTAAATATTTAAATTTGTAAAATAATATATGTAGAAATTATCGTATGGATAACATTATCTTAAATAAATCAATAGATATAAAATTCAAATTGTGCAAGACCCTTTTCAAATACAAAATTACAATTATCAACTTGTTACAACTATAAAATAGAGTTTGGAGATTGATTTACAAAATATCTATTTACTAACACAAAAATAGAATATGTATTCAAAAATGATAGAAGAAGATATCAAAGAATTAATATAAATAAAGTAATTTTATATAAATTTTTTTCCAAAAAGAATTCATTTTATTAAGTTTATTTATACAAGTATAAGACTTATCTAGATTACATTAATTTCAATAAATTTTAATGCTACTATTTTTGATGAATAATAATTAATGATGATTCAATATACAATCTAATATATCATATGAAGAATTAAATCAAATAGATAATATTTTGATGACCATTATTCTCATAACCTTGCTAATTAATACAGAATTTATTCCTAATCAGAAGAGAGGTTTCCTATTCGTAATGCTTCAAAATAATATTATTTTGCTTCATTTTTTCTTCCCAAAACTAGTAATGTATCAGCTTTATATAAAAATTCAATAATAATACCTTTGCGTTTTAATCTATTTGAATTTTTTTTCAAAAATATTGTTTAATCATAAATTTTTAAGGCTTTATTAAACCTTTATAACAAATGTAGAGAAAGAGCTAAATAAAAATTAGTAATTTCCAACCTTTGTTTTCTAAAGCTTCGTCATTGTTTTTGTTTAGATCAATTGCAGTGTTAAAAGATTTAAAGAGCATCTTCAATTCTATTAAGTTTGAGTAATGTAGTTCCTATATAATATTATGCATTTTATATATGCCTCTATTATGGTGTGCTTTATCATTTTGATTGTTGAATTCTATTGCCATCTCATATGCAATAAGGGCTTCCTAGAATCTTTGTAAATTACATAGTGCAAAACCTTTTTTTATAAAAAAAATACCTTTATTAGAATATGCTAAATAATTAATTGGATTTAAATCTATTGCTGTTTATATATATAAAAGAGCTTCTTCATATTTGCCTAAATTATTTAATAAAGCTCCTGTAAAATGATTATGAGAAATATTAGCTACCTTTATTATTGTAAGCACTCTCATAGGTTGAATTTATTTATAAGGCTAAGTCAAAACATTTGATGGCCTCATCATATTTATTTAGATGATTTAATGTAATTGCTTTGAAGTTGATTATTATGTGAATTACCTTTCCAGTTATAGACAAAATCATGATTATAACCCATCAATAATGAATCATTAAAGGCTGTTAAGGCTTCTTGATATTTTCTTTCTCTAAATATATTCAATCTTTACATGTGAATAATTAATACCTTAATCAAATCTACCTTTTGCTCTACTCAAATATTATGAATGATTATCTCCTGTCTAAGCAATTTGCTAATCTTCTATTTTAACATATCCCTTTGTAGTGGTTTAAAGAGTTAAGACAATAGAATTTAATGATATTAAGAATTCACCTAAATTAGTTATATAATAACACTTTTTTCAGTCTCCTCGACCTTAGAATAATACCTTCTAAAGAAGTTAATTTCAGTTTTAAATTTTAGATACTCGCCTTTTAATAATGCTTCATTCAAATTTTACAATTTTTTGAGATTTTTCTAAATTTTCTTTAGTGATTAACTCAACAACATTTGGAAGGTTTTATCAATTTCTTGTAATTATTCATAAAATAATTTTTCTTATTGAATATACTTTGAGAGATTTTCTGTTATCATATCAAAACCAAGACATTAAGAACTATGATTATTTTATTGATCTTTTAGACATTTCAAACAAAATTGAGGATTTTATTGGCAATCAATATTAACACAATATCCTAAAATAGCTTAACCAAAATGGCTTTCATATCGACAATGATACTCTGCCATTTTGGTTTCAATTTTATTATTATTAATTAACATTAAAAAATACATAATTGATAAAGTGTTTGGTAAATAATATATAATTCAATTATTTATTAGTTTTAATATAATATCAATACAATAAGAAAAATGCACATTTTATACTATTGCAAATAAAATAAGACACTATTCTAATATTTTGATATCTATTTAATTATAACTTCTTTTTATAACATGTTTCATTAATTCATTAGATCATGATTTAATTGATTCATTTAATCATGATTTCAATCATAAAATATATATATGTAACTTATGATTTATTTTATTTATAAACAATAAAATATATTAAGGTATAAGTAGGCTGGTATAAATGTGAAAAATGATTAAATATTTGATCGTATAAAAAGAGATATTCACAAAATGTGTTTTCAAAAGGATTAATAAGAAATTTAATGATATTATTATTAATATTATACAAAAATCAGAAAAATTATTCTCATTTATTCTCTTAATTTTTTTATACTAAAATTTGGAAGTTAAAAACATTCAGAAATTGAAATCATTATAATACTTGAATTAATTAGCAGAAATAAATTAAAACTAATCAATTTATTAATGAAATCTTATTTTAAAATCTTTCTGCTTGTTCTTTAGTAATTTAACTGAGGAAGAGTTTTAGTTTATGAGTAGTTAATAATTTTTCCAATTATTTTCCTCAATAATGGAGAATATGTATTCAGTGAAAAATTGATATAATAAGAATATTAAAGTAAAAGTATAATAAAATAAACATAATAACTAGATATTTTGATGTATCTTCAGGCTTCTCAATACCATGTTCTTTCAAAAATAGGGTGTGGCTCTGATTATGTGATATATAAAGTTGAGAATAGGTTAAATTCAGAAGAGTGTGTTATAAAAATTGAAAAGTCTCCTGGAATAGGCTAGATCCAAAATGTAATTGGAATGCTAAATAAATTAAAAGGTATTTCAGGTATTCCAGTATTAATATCGTATGGAGTTACCCCAGAGAATAAGTAATTTGTTAAATATAATAAATTAAGATCTTTTCTTATTATTCCATTACTACATGGTAACTTAGGTGAAATAGCCAAAAAGAAATAATTATCTTAAACTTAAATATTAAAGATTGGATTGAGGATTACTGAAATTTTAGAAAAAGGTCATTATTAAAATATAATTCATCTAGACATCAAACCAGAAAACTTTATGATATAATAACCTTTAGTCAATGATTCAAAAATGTTACATCCTGATCTTATTCAACTTAATGATTTTGGATTATCATAAGAATTAATTAGAAATTCAAAATTATTGAAAGATGTATTTATTGGCTCATTAAATTTTGCCAGCAGATAATCTCATAAAGGAGAATAACTAGGCTATAAGGATGATTTAGAAAGTCTCTTGTATGTTTTGGTTTACTTAAGAAATTGTATGTATATTTTTACCCTTAGTAACATTGCCATGGTTCCAAAAACCATCTTGGGGTTATAGAAAAGTAGACATCAAAGTAATTGGCAGGATCAAATAATTTCATTTTAAAACTGTTTCCTAAACTTAGAATTTCCCTTTATAGTTTTAAGAGATAATGTCTTACATAGACACATTAAAGTATGACATAATGCCAGATTATGGTTATATTAAAAGCTAATTTATGGAAATGATAAAAAAACCCTAGTGTTCTATCTTCTAAATACACTAAGTTTTCTAATCTTCGAATGAAATAGAAACTTCAATTTTAATAGAAAATTCTGATGAGAACAATAAAGACAATAAATCTTGTGATTAAAATATGGAGGATATGTTGAGTTTTGAGACAAAACATGTTCAAATTTCAAAAATAATTGGTAAATATGTGACTAATTCAATTAAATCAATAAGTGATATTAAATCTTGAGATTATTATTATTCTATAATCAAATAAAAATTTTCAATTCATATTTATGTCATAATATATATATAAACATAATTTAAAATTTATTTTGAAACTCAAATAGTTATATAAATATTTAATATTTTTAAATTAATTGAATATATTCTCTTATGCTTAAAAATAGAATTGAAGTAATTTTAATTATGAAACATAAATAAAATGACACTGTACTTAATTTAATATGTTTATCAAGTTCATCACCAGAAAGATTTTTGAAGAAAATATTATTTAGACATATTAGTATTAATCACAATAATATTGAAGAATACATATTCTTTAAAGATTCACTATAAATAAGTATTGTAGTTTAAATTATGATAAATCTATAATTATTATTAAATCATTAATCGACTTTTTATATAATTCAATTCTAATTTAATTACCATAAACACTTGAAGATATTTGTTTAACTAAATCTATATGTAAATAATTATGTTAAATTTTAGTTATTTTTAATTAAAGAATTTATCATTAAAAATAAATATAAATCATATAATTGTAATTATTCATGTTTCCTAGTTGGCACCATAATATTTAAATAAATGTTGTAAATTATTGAATTCTGTAGTTATTTAAGAATTATTTATTTAACAATTAATTGCTTGAATTTCATATTTTTTAGGTATTGTTTTCAATCTATATAGAAAACTCAAGGTCTATATATATAAAATTTTTATAATACATTATTAGTGTCTTTTTATTATGATTACAATGAAATAGTAAAATTATAAAAAATACAATATAATTATGTTGGATTCTATAACCCCTTTAATTTCAGGCCAAGGACAATCACCTCTAAAAAAAATTAGCAGCAATATATTTGACATTGTAGTGATAACAATCAATAAATGAACTTCTTTAATCAAATAATGAATTCGCAATTGATTATAAATTAATTAAATTAGTATTTTCTTATCAATATTAATAAATGGACCATATGATGCATGAAGAAATTAAAAATCAGGATCTGGAATAACATTCTCTCATTTCGATTAAATCAATAAATCTTTACCCATTAAATCTAGATGATTAAGTAACTGATGATATCATTTAGGCAATCATTCTATTAATTGAATAATTTAGATAGTCAATATCTAATTATTCATTAGCCACTTTATATTAAGCTGAATTTTTCTAATATTATAGATAAATTAGCATATTCTTTTAGATATTTGAGTGTAAATATTGAATTTTATGGCTCAATTATTGAGGATTATATAGACTGATTGAGAGCATTATAGAAATAGTTGCCTTGGTCACCTTTTCTAGGTCATTTAAGAGTAATTCCAATATATCAAATGTAAAACCTTAACCAAATCCTCTTCTTATTGAATGATAAAGCATGATTCCCTAAAGGCCATCGAAACATTCAATTTTTTTTCTTATTTTATCAGCTAGCTTTTCTTCTCCTTCTTTTTCATTACTGCACCATAACTTCTTGCCCATTAATCCTCCTGATTCCAATCTGCATTGATGTATATAGGAACGATTAAACAAAACTCTCATATTTGTCAATTCTTCAAAGAGTTTGTTGTTGTTGGATCTTCATCAAAGAAAATAGCTCTTGGAACAAACTTCCATATTAAGACAATGAAAAGAGAGAATCAATTTGTGAATTTAGACCTTCTAATATTCGATCAGTTGGAACAGTTCCATCTAATTGAATATTATATTCTAAATAGAATAATTGCAAAGCGAATTTCCTATTTAAAGGCCAGCTTGGCCAATTCATAAAGAAATCATTTCTCTCATTATAATTAATATTTATACAAATTATTTCAAGCAAAAGATTAATACCTCTCTTCATAACAAACTTATTATAAGGGGGTTCAAGTATCACTATAATTAATTATGTAACTTTTGTTGGTAAATTTTATATGTTTTATGCTTTCATATAATTATTCCAAAATAACTCAACATTAGATAATTAAATAATAATGTTCTGCAATAATAACTATTCTTACGTTTTTATTAATAAGGAGACCAAGTAATTGTTTTAAGATAGAGTAAGGTGGCAATTTCGTTTATAAATTTAAATAAAATAATAACGATCAATTTTTTTATACAGGAGCTTCCATTGAATTTTTTTCTATATATTACACATCATCTTTATTGTTCTTATTCCTATTTTTATCTAATTTTCCCCTTTTTTGCAATTAATGGCAATTTACTTAAAATCTTTATTCTAGAGGAACGTTTTATACATTCTAATTGTCTTCTTAAGTTGAAGTTTATTAGAGCTATTGAGAGTTCAAATTTAGTTATTATTATTAATTGGGATAATTATTGTATTAGTTTTAATATTTCTCATTAGATTGTTAATATTTGTTGAATACTTAAGTATCATTATTATTATTGTTGTGATACTAATTCTATTAATGTTAATTTTAGTAAAATCCATTATTAAATTACCAATATTAAGGAGTTTACTAGAATTAGTAACCTAATTATATAAATATTTAATACCAACAAATGGTTATTAATAATATTGCTAAAAAGGCTATTGTGAATAATATTATTGGGCATATTGAGAATGATAATAAGTACCTTGTGCTTTTCTACTAGTTTTTTTCCTTTCATATGATGCAACTGAAAAAGAGAAGGGAATAGATTCAAAAACTGATGATAACTCTTAAAATTTCTTCTCAAATCGAATATTATTTGTTCTTTGCTATCTACTTTCATACTTAAATGATGATAATCGCAAATACTTCCAATTTATCCAATTAAGGAAATTCTTCGAATAAATTTTTATTTGTCTTTTCTACTTAAAAAATTTTTGCCATTTTGATTCCATTCTCAATAGTTAATTCAGTGCAATCGATCAGATCATAGACAGATTTTAATGTTTCTTCACTGCCTTCTAATCTTTATATTTATTTAATTTCTTCAAAGAGTTTAAATGGTAAATCTTTGACATAGAGCTAAGAAAAGATTATAATAATTAATACCCATTGAATCTAAAATGTCCCAAACCATTTATTCTCAATTAACCAATATTTGAAATGAGCTTTTGAATTGAACTCAGAATTTAATTTGGCCATCCCACTAAAACACATACTATTTATTTCGGTGAAAAATAAATAAACATCTTCCTTCTTATTCTTAAATGCCTCATCTAATCTTTCATTTTTACGAGAAGAGCTTTCCTAATAGAAAACTTTACCTCGTCCAAATACCATACTTCATTGCTCTATGAACATTATCTTCTCCCTAGGTTCTTATAATAAAGAATCTGCTATCCTTTAAATTATTAAAATTGCGATCAATATTGATATTTGCTAATGGAGGGAACTTGCTCCTTATTTATTCTAAATTATCATAGTTTTCTAATGACAAAAAAGGTGGCTATGATTAATGAATTCTATATACTTGATCACTTGTTGCTTACATAAATAAAAATAAAAAGATTTAAATATATGCTTAAATATATATTTAATTGATTATCATTTTTACAATATCATTTCTAAGTTTAGCAGATAATCAACAGTGAAGAAATACTATATTCTTTTTACATGAATGAATTTTCCTTCCAAAAATTGTTGGTAATATTTTATTTAGAATTATGGCAGCAATAAATAACCATTTAATTTTTTGAAGTTATTACACTATATAAATTAAAGTTTTAAGGTAATTACAAAACTTTTTCAATGCTTGTCCTTCTGTTTTCTTAGCGATTGTATCTCAGCTATTGATCAAAATGTCTTAATGAAAATAATCAAATAATTAAAGTTTCTTTCCAAAAATCATCATACAAGTCACAGAGAAAAAAATTAAGCCTGAGTAAATTAAGAATAATTTTAATATATGCTTAATTATAGATGAAGAATATATTTTACATTTTCAATCATAAAATCTAACTCGATTCAATTAATTTTGAGTTTATAATAATAATTATTATAAGACTGTTTAAAAATAACTTGTAGAATTCTTAAAGATTATAAAATCGGTAATCTTAGAATAATCTCAGATTAATATTAATCCCATAAGATATTTTAATGACTAAATTTATTTTGAAATACTTTTTGTAAGTAATAAATACAAAGGCAAAATTTAAAAATAGTTCAGAAATAATTTTATTTTAGACCAATATTTATTAAAATATATTATAAAGACTATATTGGATAAGAGAAATTATGAAAATGCTTATAGACTTATTTATAATGTTATTTATTATAAAAGTAATAAAGAACTATAACTGTGAACAAAATATCTATTGGATCGATTTTTTTTCATCTTGTAATGATTTTACATATATTTTTTATGAGTGCAATAATATCATTTTATAAATATAAAAGATTAATTTACAATCTAAAGAGTTCTACTAAAATGGCATTTTAGAGTTTCTTGATATTATGTTTAGATAATTTGATTTAAATCATCTTAGCATAAAATATGTCAACAAAATAATTTCACAGTATTTTATAAGTATTTCAGTTTAATTTGTAAGTATGAATTATGGATTATCATCTTCATCTTCAATAAAGGCGTATTATTGAATCAATGCTGGAGGAGGTAAAATTAATTAATCTAAGTCCATATCATGATACCTATAACTATCAATGCCCTACATGCCTTTCTTTAACTATTTAAAAAGCTTTAAAATTTTAATTTATATAATTCATCTCACACTCTTTTTATTTAAATACCAAAATCTCATTAGCTCAAAAATTATTCATTTTTTAAGGATATTTAAAACTGATTTTACAATATAATTAGTCCATAAAATTTTATAAATTTCTGGGAACTTATAAGGAAGAACACTGGTATCAGTATTATTTAAATTTTTAATTTGAAAAAATGATACCTATGATTAATAATAAAATTAAAATTTTTATTACCAAAAAATAATTTTTTTCATCTTAGAATGTTATATATATGTCGTACTAATAACCTGATTAATTAAATTATAAAAAAGGTAATTTTATTATGGTAATTTAATAATTTATGATAACTTCTAAACTTCGTAGAATACAACTATGGTAGATAGTACTTAATAATAATATTTTTCTTGAAGTACAACTATCATTTTTTGAGTTTTGTAAAATTTTACGATTTCAAATATTTAGAAAAATAGAGATAAAAGGAAATCTATTGTTTATAAAAGAATATACTTTTTAATTTTTGCATCCTTTAAATAAGACTTTTATTATAATTAAATCTAAAATTATACATCAAATTTAAAGTTGTCGAAGAGTTTTTATAAAATGATTAAACATTAAATATCAATTACATTTGTGTGGCAATGCCAACTATATGCTTGTACTATGAAGTTTACATTCAAATATCTATCAATACTTAAAATACTCTAATTCTTGAGTTAATTCTAGTTAGTTTATTTTCTTCAGTAAAGTTAATATTGAAATTATTCTGAAAAATGATTTTCTGATAGTAATAGTTATTTTTGTAGATTTGAAATTGGTTTACAAGAATTCTAGATCAACTTCTAGTACACTAATGACTCTAATAAAATTTTTATAATAACTAAATAAAAGAAGATTAAAAAATACAATTTAATCTGACGTCAACAATTAGTTTTGAATCAAAATTTAATTAAGATTGTAATTATTTAAATCTATATTTACTTAGAGGTTTTATAATAAATTAGATAGATTTATTCTAATCTAATTTATTTTGTTTTTCAATCGATATAATTTATTATTTTATTTATAAAGTTTATAAAGTTTATACCTTAACTATAGCATCTCAATTTTTGGCGCTATTAATTTAATAGCAAAATGCGGGTTTATTTATTGATACCCGCATTTCATTGCAAATAATAATAATTAATTAAGATAAGATGAATAACTACAAACTCATAAAAACATAGTCGAACAATAACACTATTGGTGAAGATGAATCTACAAGACATCTAAGTGAGTTAGCAGATACCAAAATATGCTCAATTAAAGTGGCATCAACTACTCCTATTAATTTTCTAAGCCTTAGAGAGAGATATGGGTAGTTATCAGATTAATATCCATTGCCAATTAAATTCTAATAATTATTATAAACAATGAGAAATATTGAATAAACATATTGGAAAAAGAGAAAACCCCTAGTATATGATATCAAAACTAATGCCATTAAAATATTATAAATTGGATAATTGTTAAAACTTGATAAAGATTTATATGAGATAAAAATTGTAAATAAATCAATTGAACTTATATTAAATGACATTCCTATTGAAAATTTACCATAATTTTAGCCATTCTAAAGTAAGCTACCTGCAATATTTGAAAATAGAATTTCTTCAATTAGAAATAAATTAGATCATTTAGTATAAGAAGCACATGAAAATTATTTAAATTTGATTGGAGAATAAAGTTTTCTTGAAAATTCTAAAGAATTTAAGATTTATTATTCTACTTTTGATATGAATCTAGTAAAAGATATCTCTCCTATATAATTACCATTTCAAATATATTCTGATGAACAGAGAGATTAAATTAAATAAATTGTTGGAATAACGATAAATTATTTCAATTAAAGATCGGTATCATTTGTTTTCTATAATAATTTAATACAACATTTACTGAATAAAATACCTATGAATAAAGAAATTATGGAGAAATCATTAATGTTTTTGATTAAAATTCAGCCAGATTTTTTGTAGATTACTAATTTAAAGAAAGAGTAAATGAAAAATAAATGGATAGTTTAGATTAATAAATTCTGCACAGAATAAAAATAGTTTGAATCGCTGAAGACGTATTTCTATTGATTTCATGTTTTATATTAATTTAATTTTAATTTAATGTACTCTCAATTATAAACATTAGATTTATATGAAGATGATGATTACTAAAACCTTATGATGGATTGTTATTAGGAAAATAAACCTATTATCTTGGAGAATAAGAAGTAGGAAAAAATGATGATTTTGAAAGAAATAGGAGAATTTCTTTTATATGAAGATTATTTACTTAATTGTTATTTAAAATCTAATAAGCCTACTGTAGATAATTTTTTTGACTCTTAAATTTAGATATATAAATTAGATAAACAAAAATAAACATTTGAGCCATTCAATAGATAGAAATTATCAATGAAAAAATGTATTATTGTTTGAAAATCTTTAGATTTTACAATCGGTAATAATACATCCTTAAAAAATAATGAGTTAGAAATCAATGAAATAGCATTCAATGATGCTCAAGTAGAATTGATACATCTTGAAGTAAATTATGAAGATTTATTATTACCAATAAATAATAAAAACAATATGATGGAATAATTAAATAAAAGAATAAATGAAAGTGATTTCAACATATCAAGTAAAATAAAATAAAAAATTGTAAGTTAAAGAATAGCAGATGATGATAATCAACTAAAAGTTAAAAATGCAAAAAAATAATATTAGTAATATCCTATGATAGATGTAAATTCTTATGCTGAATATTCAAAATTGAAATTAAATAGAAAATTTAAATTAGGTGGTGGAGATTGGAATCGTAATATCTTATAAATTTTAGAAATTAACAGCTGCTTTGAAATCTTACCAAAAGAATAATCAAATATCAATTATTAAATAAGAGGGACTAATTATAGTATTGAATATCTTAAAAATAATTAATAAGAATAAGAAATAAAGATGATTTTATAATCTCCAGCTATCAAACTAAAAAATGATTTTGATGATTATCAATACATTTTAATTGCAAATTAAAAAAATGAATTTAGTATAGGAAGGTCTTCATCTAATGATATATAAACTGAGGATAAAAATATCTCTAGAAACCATTGTTTAATAAGATACTTATAGAATTAATAATTTTTGGGAGAGTGGGAAATTATGGATTTATAAAGTGCTTAAGGAACTTGGTTGTTAATGTAAGACGATTCATATTACAAGATTGATAATATGACTAGAATAAGAGTTGGATCAAATATAGTAAAATTAGAGTTTTTGAATAAAGAAGAGAATTAATGTAATAATGAATAATAAGAAGACGAAAATGAAAATGAAGAAGATTTGACTGAAAGTCTATTGTAATTATGACAAAAAAAAATTATATATATAATTATTTAAAAAAATACAAAAATGATAAATAAAAAATCTTCAACAAAATAAGCAACAAGAATGGTAACATAGGCAAACGATTAATAAGAAGTAGTTACAGTAAAATAGATAAATTATTTTAAGTAAAATCAATAAGCATCCAAATACACTTTAAATTAAATTGTAGGAAATGGGACATTTGGAATGGTTTATTTGGTAAAGAGGTAAGGTTATGATAGGCTACAAATAATTAAACTAATGAAAAAGTTGCCATTAAAAAGGTGTTCTAAGATAAGCGTTATAAGAATAGAGAGCATTTAATAATATAAGAATTGAATAATCCATGTGTTGTAAAATTAAAAGAGGCATTTTTTACATAAGGTGATAAAGTAATGAAAAGTTAATTTATAAAGGGAGATGATGTTTATTTAAATTTGGTTATGGATTATATTCCAGATGCATTAAGTAAGGTGATCAGATATTATAAGAAGGCGAAATAACTTTTTCCAGTAGTTTTGTTGAAAATTTATAGTTATTAAATGTTTAGAGCTTTAGCATATTTAGAAGGTAGATGTTATTTTAATAATAATTAAGGTGTTGGAATATGCCATCGAGATATTAAACCTTAGAATATTTTAGTTGATCCAAATAGTCATATACTAAAGATTTGTGATTTTGGTTCTGCAAAGAAATTACAAAAAGGAGAACCTAACGTTGCTTATATATGTTCCAGATATTATAGAGCACCCGAATTAATATTTGGAGCAACTGAATATTCAACTGCTATAGATATGTGGTCTATAGGTTGTGTGATAGCCGAAATGACAATTGGTGATCCTTTGTTTCCAGGTGAAAGTGCCATCGATCAATTAGTGGAAATCATTAAAATTCTTGGAACTCCAACTCTTGAATAAGTGAAATTGATGAATCCTATGCATAAGGAATTCAAATTTCCACAAATAAAGAGTCATCCTTGGAATAAAGTAATTAAATTTCATATTAAATCATACTTAGGTGTTCCAAAAATTTAAACCTGATCCTTTGTTTGTGGATTTGATATCTAAAATTATGTTGTACCCTCCTAAAGAAAGATTGAGACCATTAGAAGCTTTGTCTCATCCTTTCTTTAATGAAATTAGGGATGAAAAATTTGGAATTCCAAATGTATAATTGCCTAACTTTTTTGACTTTTCAAAAGGTATAAAATAATACCAATTTTTAGAGGAATTATAGATATAACCTGAAATTTCATTTAAGTTAACTCCATAATGGTATTCACAAAAGAGGATATGAACTTAATTATTTTTATAAATGAATCCAATTAGTGTCTACCCTCTTAAATTTAATCATCAAGATTCTATGGCCAATTCTTTTGTGTTCAAACGAAAGCATAACCATCTGATTGTACATACAATTTTCAAATAAAGTATCGCTAAATTAGAATTTAGCCCTCCTTTATAACACAGAAAAGAAATTAAAAAATTATCCCATAAGAGAAGATAAAACATAGAATGAAAAATTTAATATTGTATTAAAGCAGTTTTATTTATCATAAATTACTTAAATTAAGCCTAATTTTAACAATCTAGCGCAAGTATGATAAACCAGATCTCTTCCAATCTCTATATGATTAAATTAATTATCATTGATATTTAATTATTCAAAGTTATTATTTTAAACCAAATTATCATATTAAATAGGGAAGATTAATTTACCTTATTTAAAATTTAAAGCAAAATTATGAGATAAAAAATAAAAATTATGTAGAAAATTTGAAATAATATATAAAAAATATACAAAATTAGAGAAATATTTTTAAAGAAGTTTTTTTTAAATGAGCAAAGATTTATTATATATATAGTTATATTGAAATAGTCATCTTGTGGAATTGACATATCTTTTAGATGAACTACTTGCTCATCTGTATTTATTTCTCGAAATAATTTATGTTGTGTCATTTTTGGAGATCAATATTTGTATAATGTTTTTATTGATAATTAATAGATATTTATCGAATAGGTAAGGGATTCAAATAAGTGGAAAATTGTTGAATTGAGCAATGATCATAATCCTGATATACCATCAGAAAAGAAAAGAATAATTAGCCAGTAAAGGATGAGTTAATCATTTGGGACTGAAAATGGTTAAAAATATTGGGCCAGCAAGAGTTTGGTTGATGCTTTAGAATATTTCATGGTAAGCTTTGAGTAGATTAATAGAATGTTGTTGGGGTTATATCATTGATTAATAAAAAAATACTCATAAATAATTTTTTGAATAAGAATATAATCCAGAATTAATTTATTATAAATTGAATTAGAAATGTTGGTTTTTAGTTATTGCTAGTAATGGAGTATAAATTATATGCAGATTTTGTTGTTCTTAAATGAATGAAAATAAAATTGATGAAATTGTTGAAAATATTGTAAAAGAATCTACTAGAAGATTACAAGAAGAGGATGAGATAGCTAATGATATTTCATTAATAATTGTTTATTTTTCTTGAATATTTTAATATGTGAGAATTTAAGAATTTCTTTAGGTTATTTTTAATTGATTGATTATTAATTAATAAGGAAGAGATAAAACACAATAATCAGAATTGAATTAAATTCATAATGGGAATACCATTATAGTTACATTGTCTCTTATATAATCACTTGATATTGCTTGATATAACTATTTTGCTAAATTCTTGTTTTGATCAAGTTTCTGAATGATCTATAAAACTTCTTATTCCGAAAGTTCCTAAAATAAATACAAATTATTTACATCCCAAAAACCATCACTAGCCATAACTATGAATTTATCACCTTGTTAGATTTAGTATTTGAAGATTTCTGGTTCACTAATGATGTATTTTTTTAGATGAAAATCTCCAAATGATCTTGTAACAGTTAATGATCCTGATACTCGACATATGTTTTGTCTCTTTGTAATTAAACTAAATAAATAGAAATAATAATTATACCCTCCTTATTTAAGTATTCTCTAATTTTCTTCTTTAGATTAGGGGATATGAATAGAATTTAATTATTTAAATGAATTTTCTCGAAATACAATAGCTTTAGAATCTCCTAGATTTGTTATTGTAACAGTTTTATTTTAAATAGACAATAATATAGCAACCGACCCAGATTACATGTATTAAGTTAAATTGTTATCAATATCACTAAACACTACAAAAATTAGATAATATACAATACCTTTTTTATATTCCTCATCTGACATTTCATTTTGTAATCTTTATAACAAATTCTGCTATAAGTAATCGACAACATGAGAGGAGCCATGGCCATCAAAAATTGCATAATGATTATTCAAAACTTAATACTAAGAATAATTAATTGTTAAATGTTACTCTGTCAAGCATTTCCCTTCTAGATCCACGATTCATATATAAATGATATTTTTCATTTTAATCTTCTAACTCATCAAATGACTCACATAAATCATTCACTACTTGTTGATTTTGCTCATAATTTATTACTATTTCTAAATCCATTATAAAAATAAGTTATTTTTTTTTATTGCTTCAAATTTTAATAATATACTATAAATAGTTAAATTATTGATATTAATTCATTATTGTTGGACTAACTGTAACTTTTGATCTTTTTACATTATCCACATTTATACATATTGACCATTCTAAGCATTTTTTACAATCCAATTATGTTTTAATAAAGTCTATGCATCTAATCGTTTGTTTTGATCTTTATTCAAACTTAAATTAATATTCAAATTTTACCAAATGTTAACGAAATCCCGCATTTCAACACTATATGGATAATTATCTAATTTCGGAGAATCTGATTTCAAAATATTTTGAATCATTTGGATATATGTCATTTACTTATTAGAGACTGAATATGGATGTTTCCCTGTTGCCATTTCATAAATAATCAATCCCAAAGACCATATGTCAGATGCATAAGAATAATTCTTACCTTCTGTTCTTTCTGGAGACCTATAACAAATAACACCAATATCTTACATGTACATCAAAGTACCTACAAAAGTTCTAGCTATTGCAATAGTGTTTTCTAATTATTTACTGATTCCAAAATCTGTCAATTTTATTTATCCTAAACTATTAATGAGAATATTTTCTGGTTTAATATCTCTATGAAGTTAATGCTTCTACTAATGTAAATATTGTAATCCCATTAGAATATTATATGTTATCGTTGCAATTATTTATTCATTAATTAATTCGCTTAAATTATTTTTATAGATTTATTGAATAATGCTTCGTAATGATCCTTGATCCATATATTCAAGTACCAATCTTATGGTTCCTCAAAAATCAATGATAGAGCTACCTTCTTCATAATATGCACCATAAAACTTGATCAATTATTCACATTCGCAACCATTCAAAAGTGTACTTAGATCATTTAACATCTAATGTCTTTTATCCTTATCAAAAACATTAATTATCTGATATAATAACATTAAAAATTAACCTTTAGGGCTACTTAACAATTATAAGGTAAATATAATCCTCTGCAAACATAGCTCGATACTCCTTATCCAATAACATCCCCAACTTTAATTTATTAATGCGTTATTGATTCCTAAGTAATTTGTATCTATTCTCCATTGGTTGTTGTCAATCCTTCATTATTTATTTTAATTCCTGCTTTTGGAAATCTAACACTATTATGTCCACTAATAATAAATAACAATTTAAACATTTCGAATGTCATAGAACTATTTTATTCAAAATTAACTTCAATATCAAATTCATTTTGCATTTTATATAATATTAATTATAAATTATTATTTATTACTAAGTAGTTCTCAAAAAAGATTAAGTCCTTAAAATATAAATTATCTAATTAAACAACTCAATCATTTCTTTTGGTTCATATTTAAAAACTTGATTATCAATAATCAATCTTAATTCTTTAAGATAGAAATCGTATTAGCCTTACAAAAGTATGGATTTATTATTTTGTCAAGTTAATTTGGATACCAAATATAAAAATTGTATTTATATCTAAAATTATGATGCTTATTTAATTATCTATAAATAAGAATTATTATTACCTATTAATTAATTGAGTATATAATTTTTTCACTCACCAATTATGAATTCTTTTTAATTAACCTCATTTCCCTTGTAAGCAGTTTTTATAAATTGAAATCAAATAAATATTTGCCAATTTTGAACACTCTAAAAGTAAGAGATCAGCCTAAAAATGGATTATATAATTTTTAAGTGAATAAGTTATTATGATTTCTAATTTATTTTCCTTTATAAATCATAAATTCTTAATGTAAATATTTATACAAAAATATTATAATAATTATATATCAACATCATAGTGTTATTAAAAAAGAATTTACCTTACAAATTATTTGATTGTTGCAAAAAGCAATATAAAAATATTTAAACTTATACTTAAAGGAATAAATTATTGATTTAATATAATTAATTTGCATTTAAAAGGAATATAAGAGAAAAATATTTAGAGAATATACAAAATCATTATAATAATGATTGATAAATTATCTAAATAATGAATTCATAATAGATAGATATATATTTTAATCAAAGGTCAATTTTTATATATTCTAATAGTCTCTTGTATTTTAACTCTGCAGAAGGGACAGAGAGATAAACTCTTACTACATTTCAAACAAGTTGCATTGTGTTTACATGGCAATATTAAACAATCTCTTTCTTTTTCAACACAAATTATACACAAGTTTTCACCAGAGATTTCATTAACCTTCATTTTATTTTATTAGCAAATATATTAATTTGTTGTTCCAATTCTTATTATAATCTCTTCATTTGGATCCAAATAAAATAAATTACTCATTTTACCTTCTCCTGATAATCTCATCCAAGATCTAAAATTTAACATAAATTATTTTATTTACCCATTTGTTGATCCATGATCTTCAATAGTGACAGTTTAATCTACAAGGTAAAATTTGGCATGTTAATTTGATAAATGATGGTCTTCAGGGAATGAAATATCGACAGTTGATTTTCTACCAAGTGCTACTGAAGGTTTGTCTTTATTCAATTAAAATATAATGGTATCTTCTAAATTTGGTCCTTCAATAACAAATAAAGAGATCTAACAATTTTATGGAGTCTTACTTCAATTCCTCCATTTTCTAATTATTCCAATTTCTAAACACAAAATTAATTACTTCCCAATTCTATTAGCATTCCTTATTTTAATGTCAAACATTTTTGTATTTTGATAAAAGTTCCTGTTGTGCTTCCAATATCTTTAAGAGCAAACTAAATTTAATAACAATACTTAAATACCATAGAGTCTTAGAATATTATCTCTGCATGAAATCTACTGATGTTCTCTTCCAAAATTAGAATTTAATTACTAGAATGTCTTCCAATTTTGGCACCTGCTTCTCGAACACAATAAAAATTGGACTATTATCCTTCTATAGGTTATAGTATTAATTGATGTTCAAATTTATTAAATCCTGGTATTTCTTATTTAATAACTTATTCTTCTTATCTAGCAACTGAACTTGTGAATTGTTCGTTGCCATTATTTTCATGATTCTCCATTAGCATTTATTCGAATTGAACATTACCAACATTTTTTTATATAGTGAAATCTTCATCTTACTATTTTTTGTTGTTTAGATTTGGCATTTTCATTTATTTTATATATTCATTATATTCTTTTAGTCCATGATTTACCCCTAAAATAAAAAAACGTAGTTACAATTTAAGAGCTTTCTTTTAATAATTCTTTAAGTAATCCCTAATTCTTCATCTAGATCCTTTTCTGTCAAGTCTTCCAAAACTGCTCCATCAATAGAACATTCAACTATTTTCTTGATATTTAAATACCAAATTTTTGTTCCATTTGTCCTAACCCTATAAACTTAAGCCAATTAATGACATCTTGAGTCAACCATTTCTTTGGTTCTTTAGGGATCAATTTATACAAAGACTCATAATCCATTTTTATTTATATTATAAATAATAACTTATCATTCTTAATTTTTATATTTCAGATTGTTATTATAAAAAAGAATAAATCAAACTAAGAATATTCATCTTTGAATTAAGAGATTGATTATAACACTTAAATATGTAGATAAATTTCATTTGAAGAATGCCAGAATTACAGTGATGTCATCAATTACTTCATCTTCCCTCTACCATGCTTCTTTTGCAGCTTATGTTAATTTATTGCATGCTCCTATTGCATCTCCCTTTTTATAATACTCATTTACTGTTTCAATTACCCATTCATTCGATAAGAATCTTTTTAAATAAATTATTTATAATACTCCCATATACCATCTGATGCAACAACTAAGAATTTATCTGATGGTAATAGTTAATGCTTAATAATTTCAGGTTCACAAATAACTCCTACTTAACTTGCTACGTAATCTCCAAAGCTCCTTGACATTGCCAATCCTGGTACATCTTCATCCAATTTCCATACTCTTGCTGGTCCTATTGGATTTCCATCCTCATCACTATATGCTTAAACTCTTCCTCCTCTCTGAATTATTCTAGCTTACTCCAAAAAACAATCAGGTTTATGATCTTTGGATAATTCTACTACTTATAATTTAGTATCATATCTTCCTATAATCTAAATATTTTGTATTTATATTTACTGCACGACTATCTCCTATGTTTGCACAATAAAGTATGTTTTCAAATGCTATTACAACAACTGTTGTTGCTCCTGAATAAGTCACATCTATGCCAGAACTCAAAAGATCTTCATTTGTTTTCAAAAAAGATTACTTAAAAATGTTATTTATTGTTCTTATATGTTATAATTTAATATCTTACTTATCTCTATCATAATAATAGGGAGCTTCCATTACTTCTTATTCTATATATGCTGGTAGTATTTCTTATACAAATTAGGCTACTTAATGTCCATTGGTTCCATGACCATCAGAAACCTAAAGATACCAATCATTTTCCTTAGTTCCAAATTTTTATATTAATTTATAAGAATCTTAATTAATTTTAGTTTAGCCAGTATAAAGCATTCCTGGAATTGATTTTGCATGTGCTTTTGTTATACAGAGTTAGAGAGTTGAGATATCAGGATTACTGATTGAACGAGGTCCTTTGAATAATTTTTATTTTTATTATTATTGTTATTACTGTTATTATAACTAATTATGTTCTGTTTATTTAGATAAGTCAAGTAATTTTTAATATTATTTTTAAATTAATTACTAATGATATTGTAAAATCTCTTTAGATGTTTATATTTAACCAATTTTATTGTCTGGACGTTCTGCTTTGATTTTTTATAATAATTATAATGCTGATTATGTTAAATTTTATGAATTCTCTTTGGTTTCAATGATTTTACTATTTTAACGAGCATGAGTTTTTTTTAATAAGACTGTGCTTATATCTTTAAGATCCTTTCCACTTGTAGGTCTTGATTTTTTGGCATCAACTTTTAACTATCCTTAATTATTTCTAATTTACAAATAATGTCATACCTCAATGAATTAATATATACATTTCCTTAAATTACTGGAGATTTCACTATCTTTTATTATTAATCTGATTCATTTTTTTTTTTTAAAAGACTTGCATACAATTTATTAGGAGAAATTTAGGGGGCTTTTTATTTCATTCTAATAACCAAATTAAATTTATTATTCTTTATTTAATTATATATTTAATATATATAATAATTCATTTCCTTAAGTTTTTCAATTATTCTTTTATTTGATTGGTACTATTCAAGTATTTCGATCTAGGAATATGATCTTAAGATATAGTTCTTTCAAGTAATGATTATTGTTATTAAGTCAGTATCTTACTCTATTCAGTATTTTAAACCTCAATCTTTACATTACTCAACTTCTAAATATCTAAATTTTATATTATAATCATTTACTTTCATTTTGAAGTTTTGTTTATAAAGTGAATTAATATTTATCAATCAATTTTTGAGTTTCATTTTTTGTAATTCCCTTTGAATTTGGTTTGTTTGTTTCTAAATCCTCATTTTCAAATTTTACCTTAAGTTCTTAACCCTTATCCTTCTCTAATGTTATTGATCTCATTCTATCACTTTTTTAATAACTATCCATTCTCTAATGCAATAGAGGAGATTATAATCTTTCTCCTAAAATATTAGATTGTTTCAATTCCTATTTGAATAGAACTTCAGATTATCTTATGTCTTTTGTTTTTATATTTTACATTTCCAAAGACAAATCTTTTGTAGTACTGAAAGCTTTTTTAACGAAATTGTATAATTGTTATATGTCTTCCTATTTTAATTTACTAATATTGAAATTTGCTTTTGCAATTTTATCATCTTATAACATTAATTTTGTATCAAAATTTTCTTTGAGTTTATCAAATAATGAATGTAAATCATTAACTCTTTCGCCTAATTCATCAATTCTTTCAAATTTTTGATTGAATGACCTAATTCTCTCTTCCAAGTGATTGACCTTCTTCAATAGACTTGTTTCATATTACTCCATTCTCTCCTCAATTACTTTTAACTTATATTCTTATTGTTCTTTTAATAACATTTCGAACTAACGATTTATTAAATTTTATATTGTAACATTTCTAATATTAATTAAAATTTCGATGATTATTTTCTCTTCATTTCATAATACAAAACTCAATAAATGAATACTCTATTATTATATCAATTATTTTCAATATTAGTTTTACATCAATTTATTAATATATAGCTATATGCACAATTTACTTATGAAATATAATTCTATATCAATCAAAACCATTTATAAATTGTTAAAGAAATTATAGATTTAATACATGGTATATAATTGTGAGTTGATAAGTTCTAAAAAAATTGAATCTTCTAATAAAATCTGTAGCTTTCACTAATATTCTTGATTATATCTTTCTGCTCCATAATCTATGAGAGAAGAAAAGTAATTTTATTGGTTTGTAAAATTATGAGATTTCAATGATATAACGTATTGGACTGTCAAACATAAATTTATATGAATAAATCCTAATTTAAAATTAAACACATTATTTTAATATATAGAATTACTATTTCATATTATTATTCAAAATTGAATCTTATAGATGGGAGTAGATTGATTCTTTATTACAATTATAAGAAATATCATTTACATTCTTCTTTATAGGGATATTAATCAAAGATATTTTTGAATATATCACAATATTATTAAATTAATTTATAAAATAAGTTATTTTTATACTTTTTAGTAGAGCAGTGATAATAAGATAACTGTAATTTATAAGAAATGAAATAGCTAAATAAAAAATCATATATAGTTAAATAAAAAAATGATCATTAGATAGTTATTAAATAAAAAATGTTAAAATGAAAATCACCTTAGATTTAAGAACTTTGAAATATAAATTTATATATTATTAAATATAATGTTCATACATTTTAGATGTTAACAAGTTTGTACTTATTATTGATATTCTCAGTTTAACATTTCTATTGTTCTTTTAATGGACATTTTAAATTCTTTTATTGAATGTTATTAAGATAACACTATTCACAAAATAAAAAATGTTGACACGGAAATTATATTACATTTCTCTCTCTAGTTTAGCATTAAAAACATAATAATTATTTTATCTTTTAAATCTATTGTAATATAATTATATAATATACTTTTATTCTTGTAACTGATGCTTTTGCAATTTTTTCTTCTAATTATTTCTATGTTAATTAAATTTAATTTTTTTTTTCATTACATGTTTGTATTAATTGTTCTTTCTCTTCAAAAAGTGTTTTTACTTTATCTTTTAATTTTTTTTATTTTTATTCTTTTTCAAGCAAATCAATTTTTAATTCATCTAATCTATTTAATTATTTTTCAGATTCCATATTTTTCATTTTTTAATAGAATCCAATTAAATTTTCTTCTGCTTACTATAACTTTTTAGTATTGAGTATTAAATATTAATTAACTAAATTTTTATTATTTGAATCATTTTCTCTTAATTTGATTTGTAATTTAACTAATAAATTTTCTTATTAATCTAATTTTTAATTTTTTTTAGTTAAATATTTCAAAACTGAATCTAGATCATCAAAACTATTTTGTAGCTATTATTTTAATCTATTTCCTTTTAATTCTTCCTATTATATTTAATATTCCAATTAGGAAATAATTGGGTCTTATTTCTTTATTTTAATAAAATCCATTGATTTTTCACAAATCATCTATTTAGTCATTATTTTAAAAACACACCATGGTTCATCAAATATAAATTCTTTAATAGGATTATGTATTTCAGGAATCATCAACCAAATAGATTTAGAATTATTAGTTTATATTATTTAAAGGTACATCTCAGGATTTTGATCTATTTTAGATTCACAGAATTCACAAACTTTAGATTCATTCAACAATTATTTGTTAATTGAAATATTATTTTTTTAGAAAAATTATTTAAAACTTTCTGGTGTTATTTTAAATGGATATTCCTTATTAATTTATTCTATGACTTATTTATTAAATAATTTATAATAAGCAGCTTCCATTTTTGTATGTCCGCCTAATAAACTAAATGTTAACCTTGTATTTTTAATCATGGTCTTTGGGTTAAAGTTGTTTTCTACAGTTTTTGGTACAAATAATCTAGGATCACATGATTCAATTATTTCCTATTAAAAGTCATCTCTTTCAGTTTATTCAGAATCATATGTATTTCGTTATTTAGGATGAAGAATATCCTTATAGAATCTAATTAACTCTTGAATCTTTGAAGTCCCAGATTTACCTAAAGGAATTGGTTTCTAAAATTGAACTAAAATTTACGTTGACATCTTTGAACAACTATTTGAAATTATCAACCTTGCAGAGATGTTGATGCATATCTCTTTCAGTTATCAGTTCAAAAACTTATAAACAAGAAGCACAAAAATAATATTCACTTCAAATATATTCAACATATACTTTCTAGTCTCACCACAATCTTTAATCCTATCATTGATAATATGACATTTTTATAGATGATTGAGGTAATCCCACGCAGATTCAAATTGAATGGCATGGCCTTTTTGAGGACAAGCGAACTTCATTTTGTAGTTACAATAAATTATTAAATTGATGATATTACAAACAATAATTCATCAAGCTCAAAAGATTAGATTAAATTAAACATTAGAATATATAATTGATTCAAAATTCAAAGGTTTAAAAAAGAAAAATATATTCATTATAAAATAGATAATAAAGACATTTAATCGATATTATAAATTATTAAAATATTTTTATTTTATTCTAATACTTTCTTATAATATGTATTTCTTTATCCATAATGTTGGATTTTAAATTGTAAAAAAAGATAGTTCATCTACATTATATGTATATTAATAATTTTCGATTTAAAATCTTATAAATAAAAAGAGCTTATTTTGAAAATAGAAATTAAATAATATTATTTCATTTAAATGGCATAGAACATAATCAAGTAATCTTTTTTTGTATCTGATATCAAAATTTCTAATTTTTAGCTGTTTGTTTTTAATTTAATTTAGAACCAAACAAATTCTTTAGTGATTACTTATTTAGTAATGAATTTTCTAGAGATTAGTGCTAATATGTATAGCAATATCATATTAAATGTAATGTCAATATTTAATATCTTAGTAAGCATCCTTTCATTTTTTAGTTAATCTTTTTCCATAAATTAATTAAAATGCTGTTACACGTTCGCACTAGCAGTGGTTATCGAGAATCGTTGCGTAAAAGTTTAAGTAGAAAGAGAGAACGCATTCTCTCATTTTAATAGATATCTAGACCAGAATTGGCTGATCTCAGCAATTAATGTACATCAAAGTTTGACAAAAATGAAACAAAACTTGAATAAAGAAAATCTAAAGTAAAGAATATGAAACAAAACTCATATAAAAAGAAACCATAGGTGAAATTGTCTTATGTTCCAGAGATGACTCTTTATTAGAAAATATTGTAAAAATACTTCTGATTTATATTATATATACAATTTTAATGTTCTTTTATAATAATGTTTTTTTTATCATATTATTTATTTAGATCTTCTTATTTTTGTAATATATATAGTAATATTTGAAAATATAGAAGGTAGAAAAAAATAACAATAAAAAGAAAACAGAAAAGATAATCCATAAATATAAATATTAGTCATTTTACAGTCTTTTAATCTGGATTATTAGCATTGATTGCTTTGATAATAATTTCTTTAAACTCTTAAAAGGATATCTTAAAATAAATAAAATTAATACAGATCCATCACCATTTGCATCAACTTCTGCCAATAATTCCTTCCATACTTCATCACTAACAGCTGCTTCATTACATCCAAATATTCCTTTGATTTCATCAATTGATATTGAACCACTACCATCTTTATCAAACATTCTAAATGCTTATTCTAATCTTGCATCTTCAATAAGTTTCACCTTATTAAATGTAGCCAAAACAAATTCTATATATAATTATATATATATATCTTACCTGAATAATCAATGCTTCCATTTTTATCTTAATCTATATATTTCATTAATTTAGCTACTTCTAATTCTGCATCTGTATAACTCATTACTTTTGAATATCCTATGATATATATATATATATTATTAAATACCAATAATTAATTCTTCTTTTGAGAGTCTTCCATCTCCATTTAAATCAAGTGCCTAAAATTATTATAATAATTCCTATTTCTCTTGACTTGTAGCCATTTGATTAACCATGAAAGTTAATGCAGCCTCTTAGAATTTCTTTTCCACTCTGAAATTTCTTAAATTATTTAAAACTTTTGTTAATTAAGGTAAATTCATCTCAGTCTTTTTAACATATGTAGTTATCCATGGATCTCTTTAAGCTGATTCAGCACTAATCCTCTTTTTAGGATCTCTTTCTAACATTTTTGTAATCAGTAATTTTGCTTCATATGAAATTTAATTCCATTCTTCTCCATCAAATGTTAATTAACCTTCTCTAACATTTTCTAAAATCTCTTCATCATTTTCACCATTAAATGGTGGAAGTCCACAAAGTAAAATATATAATATCACACCACATGACCATACATCACATTTTTCATCATATTTTCTCTCCAGCACTTCAGGTGCTATATAATAAGGCTTTTTAAATTAAATATATTTATACAGTTCCCAATTTCTAATTCATTTTGTAACCTGCTTCAAATACTCTACTAGTACCAAAATCTACTATCTTTAATAGTGCTTAAGGCTTATTTGCCTCATATAAAATGTTCTCTGGTTTCAAATCTCTAATTCATTAATATATAATTATAAACCTATGTACTATCTTACTTTTATGAAGATAATTAACAGCACTAAGAATTTGTTTCATAGTCTCTGCTGCCTTTCTCTCAGAGAAGGCTTATTGATCTTAAATTTTATCAAAAAGTTCTCCTCCTGTACATAATTCTGTTACTATATATATATTTTTATGATCCTGATAGAACTCATAAATTTTTATTATGTTTGGATGATCCTATTGTTTTAATTAAGTGTTACTAATCGTTTTAAGATTTCAATCTCTATTCTCAATCTTTCTACTTCTGCTTTGCTTGCTTTTTCTTTCGAAATTACTTTTATAGCTCTAATTTGATTTGTAACTTTATGGATGCCCTTTCTGACTTCTCCAAATGCCCCTAATTATATTAATTAATTGAAACCTTTTCCAATAGGAGGTTTAAGGAGAGTATAATCATTTAATATTGATCCTTGTTTTTCAGCAACCATGCCTGACGTAGAAATTTAGAAATGAGCAACATCCTTAACTAAGTGTAAAATAAGTTTAACTACTCTTGTTTGGATTATCAACTTCCACAGGTTTACCAGATCCACAACCCATATCAAAATATAATATGATATAAAAATAACTAAATAATCTGAATAAATTGAGCTTAATTATACATAATAACATCTTTATTCAGAATTTAGTAATTTTTATAATATTCTCATACATAAAGTAATGATATATATTTTTAAGAGAAAAAAAGCTAATAATTTGAATAATTACTTAATTAATTATACAATTTGTAATTAATAAAATTTACTTGATAATTCATCCTTTTGGCTAGAATGGTCGAATATATCATGATAGATGACAAAATTATATTTAATTGATAGATTATTAAATTAAATATTTTGAAATAATTATCATAAAATTTATTATATTATGTTGATGATACTAAAAATTTGTCTATTAGATAATAATATCATCAAAATTAAAAATATATATATATCAATTTTTAATACTAAAATTAAAAAATTCATATATATTAAATAGAATTCATTATTACTTATTAAGTCTATTTGTAATTATACTTTTATACAAGTTGATATATATATAAATTATAAACTTTTCAATAATTCTTAACAATTATTTTAAAATATTTAAATTAAAAATTTACTTTTTGTATAAAAATTAAAAATAGATTATTTATTATAGAAATTCATTTTTTATTTTATTACAATATTGAATTCAATTTTTTAGCTATTAAATCATCCAATTTAAGTTTCTCTTTTAATTTATTTATTTCATTTTCATCATCAAGATCACTAATCTCTTATTGTGTTTCTTCAGTTTCTTCTTTTCTAACAGTTGATTAAAGATCTAATTCATCAATACATTAAATGTTATCAGTAAAGATTACTCCTTCATTTGATCTTTTAATCCAAGGAGCTTCTGGTTTATTCTCTACAACTTTAGGCTTTAAAAATAAAGAGTTTAATTACAGATATTTTTTAAAGTAATTGCTCATCAAATAAAATAGGTTATGAAGGAAATTCAACAATTGGTAAACAAAATGACATTCTAATTAATAAAGAATACTTTTTCAAAGAAATTTAAATAGCAGGATAAATTGAACATAATCGATTATGTTAAGGGAATAATTAGAATTCTTGTATTTAAGAAAACTTATCTTCAGGAGGTTTATCTAATAGATCATCACGTAATAATTCCATTAAAATCTATAATTGAACTCTAAATTCAATTTAAGTTAAATGTTCATGGAGCAAAGTAAGTGTTTCTAAAGCTTCATCAATATTGCCTAACATTACATCTAGAATTGCACTATTATATAGATGTTCATATATATTATAAGTTTTATTGATGAAATCAAAATCTTCAAGATTATTCTAATTAATTAATTAAGCATTTTTAGATTTCTTGATTTCCTTTTCTTTTAAATCATATGAAAAACGAAGACATTATTTTGCTTTTGAATATTACCCCAAATATGTATAAAATAAACCTTTATAGAAATAGATATCAGATGATCTGAATATCAATCCTTCCTATTACATTTTTTAGATTTATATTATTTTATTAATACCTTCTTCTAAAATATTTGTTGATATTTATAAACTAGTTTCTTTGAGTATTGTTAATACTTATTAATCAATTAATGCCTCTTGATTATGCATTTCTTCTGCAATCATAGTAAGTTCTTTGAGTGCTGAATTCAATTCTTTTCCATATATAAATACTTTAACTTTTTCATAATTACCTTCAAGAGTCTTACAATTATTAAAAGCTTGAATAGCTTCATCATAGGCTCCAATTAAAAAATATAGAATTCCTACAGTATAATAGTTTATTGAGTATTGCTCCCTTAATTCAACATACTTTTATAGATCTAAATAAGCAGTGGAAACATCTCCCATCATTATTAATAGTTTACATCTATTCAAATAAGATTGTGAATGATTTTAATCTAAACTTAAACATATTGAAAAATCATTGATTGCTTATTTAAATAGTTATCTTTAACAATGAAGTAATCCTCTTACATAATAATGTTATGCATGATTATCTTCAGACTTTTCAATAGCTTGTTCTATATCTAATGCAGATTTTTCTATATTTCCAAAAGCAAAATGTAAGATTCCTTTGTAGAATAATAAATTTGATTATTCACATATTTTTGATGCTACTTCAAGTAAATTTAATGCATTTTTTAAATATTTGATCCTATTTTCTTCACTTGATTTTTCAAGACTTGAACAATATTTTTTAATTTGAATTATGGATTAATAAAATAATGGTTCTATTTTATTAGGAAGTATTTTATGAGCAAGTTAAAATTATTTTTTGCTTTATTCTAGTTCATTATCTTCATATTTAATTATACCATGACAAAGAAATTTATTATAAAGAGATGCCTATAATTTTTTAATAAATTTACTTTCTCCAAAAGATTTTCTTAATATAATTCTAAATCCTGGTTGGCTAAATTGAATTTTGACAAACAAAAATATCCATATGCTCTATATTGATGGGCTTAGAATTTTAGATTGTCACTTTAATGATTTTTAGTTATCATTTCAGTTAATAATTAAACACCATCTTCAAAATTTCTTTTCATTAAATAAATAACTCCTCCAACAAAGAGTTCAAACTTTTATAATTATTTATTATCCACATCAAGATAGATTACTCTATCAAGTTCATGTTAAGCAGAATAATAATCATTTTAATCAATCTTTATTTTCACAATTTCATAGAGAGCTTTAGTAACTGGTTTTTTATCACTATTAATTTTAATTGACTATTCAAATGCTAAAAGAGCATCTTAAAGACTTTCTAAAATCAAATAAAGTAATTACTCTACTTTTGCATTAAAATTCCTTTAAAATAATAAACTTCTGAATCATTTTGACAAATTTCAAATAATAAATTCATATCTTATTCGGCTTTATCAAATTCTTTATTGTCTAAGTAAATTATGAATCTTTTTAATAAAATAGATTTTTATTTTGACTATTCTTCAAATTCAAGTGCTTTATTCAACTCTTAAATAGCCTACTAAATTTGATTTGTTTATTTGTAACACTCACTTAATCCAACATAACAAACAGATTTTCTTGGATTAATTTATATTGCTAAATTAAAGTCTTTAATTGCTTTTTCATAATTCTTAATTTTAATAAATAATTTAGCTCTAAATGTCAAAGCTTCAAAATATCTGTTGAAATGACTAATACCTTAAGATATTACATGTATAGCTTCATTAATTAGATTATTTTTTTTGAGAGAATGAGCTAAATACATATAAGATGTTCTTTTAAATCTTGGAAATGTCATAATTAGAGTTGAAAATTACTCAATGTATTTTTCTTCTTAATCTAGACTAATGTAACATAATCCTGATAAATATAATGCTTCTGGATTTAATCCATATTTGTTTAAGTAATTTAAAAATTTTTTTTATGCTTCATCAACTTTATTTTCTATAAATAGTTTCTTGCCTTCATCCAATTCGCTATTAGTAGTAATTTCATTTTAAACAATATTGTTTCTAGTGTTGTCATCAAGATGTTAATTAAAACTATCATCTTTATATTGGTGAACTAATTACTAATATGAGAACTGACTGAATGAATTTTCTTTATTCTATTACTTGATGAACGATTAATTTAAGGATTCAAATAGTTTGTAGAATCATATATAATTCGTTTATTTGGTTATCTATATTAATTTACTTGTTAATGAGTTCCATTTCCACTTATATGTTAACTAATTGATTTGTTTTTTATTCTTCTTACTTCAGTAGTAGGATTTTATTATAACACTTTTGGTGGTAATTCTGAGAGTTTTACTTAATTAATTACTTCCAACATGAGGTTGACTACCCAATTTTAAGACTAGAATAGGGGGTTCCTTTTAATTAATTTTGGTATGTCTAGACTCTCTTAGTATTAATGGTCTTGCAAGCCTATTGCTTAAATTATATATTACATTTTGTTAGAACTTTATTTGAAAATTATGAAAATATAAATATTAATTATTTTAAATCAATAATGTAAGGGATAGTATACTTTAATATTTCTGTAACATATATCAATTTATATCATAATACTCATACTTATCAATAAAGAAAATGAAGTTATCTATAAAATGATTATAGTAAAAGAATTAGTTTAATATATTTGAAGTATAAATTAGAGAGATTTAACTTTAAATAATATTTGAAGTAATAAAAATATTCACAAAAGTTATGATTTTTAATTTTAATTTAAAATATAATATTTAAGCCATATAATTTTCAATTAAATGATTTTATAATATTTTATATCAATCGAAAAGTAATACAAAATTACAATTTAACTTTTCCATATAATAGAAAGTTATACTTGTATTCAAATGTTTATAAAATAAAAATTAAATAAAAAAATCAATCATTTAATTATGATATTATAGTTGCTCCTCTTAAGGTTAAATATTCTGGTTTCTCTTTTTTTACTCATCAAATCCTAGAATATAAATATATATTACAATTGTTAAAACGAAATTTGTAGATTAACCTGTAGTTGAGAGATATTTGATATTTTATAACAAGGACAACCAAATATTGATAACATAATATTACTTATAATATTCTTCACCAATCTAATATTCCTCGATTGGTTAGAAATACATCATGACAAGAGATTAATAAATTTAACCTACTTATTATTCAATTAAGGTTTCATGTTAATAATCCAATCGTGCTCCTTCCAAATTAAGACCATATACATATACTCCATCTTTAATTTTATCTCTGATTCTAATTTATTCTATATCCAAAACTTTAAATTTGAAATTAAGTTTACTAATTGGAATCTTGTATTTTCTAGAATGTGTTTATCATACTCCAGATTATTCAATTAATTATGGTTTTATCTCTTGCATTTCAACTTTCATAATTGCCAGTGTCTCATTACCACATTGAATAATTTATACAATCAATCAGCTAATTTTATTTAAACTAATCCATGTTCTTATTATTTTTAAATTAATAAATAAGCATAAAGTTAAATTTAATCTAAATATGATTTTGGTGTTGTATAGATTTTTAAATTTCTTTTTTTTTGCCATTATTATTAAGATTATATATATGATTTGTAAACAAGATAAAATACTGCCATATAAATGAAAATGATAAAACTCGACCGTATAAACTTATCTTCTAGCTTCTAATTTCAAAATATCATTAAACAATATATTGCTTGATATATCATCCTTATTAACACTAAAGTACCTCATTAATAATTCACCTGCTGTATTATAATACCAAAGTCTATCTTAAACACTTATCAAACTATAACAAAAGACTCTTGCACATTCATGAACTCATAATTTGGCATTTGTATCATTACTATTATTACATGAGATAGGTCTGATCATCAATAAACCTTAAAATACTTTGCTAATATCTCTTGAATTAAAAGTATAAAGAAATTTTATTGGTATTGGTAATAATTCTTAAGATATTCATCTAAATAATTCATCTGTTATTCTAGTGATTTAATCACTCGTTTTCCTAAAATTATCACTAATACTATTAAAGTATCTTTTAAAAATAGATCCATAAATCATATCCAATATAGAATCAGTTTAATATGGCATAATTAAAACATTGAATTATTTAACAAATCTTGAAGATAATTGATTTCTTTCACCTCCAGGAGGTCCACCAGCTATCAATAAAGTTACATCTTCAATATTTTTCAAAAATAATTTTGTACAATCAAAAGTTCAAAATAAGGCTAAGCACCATATTTTTCAAAAGCTGCCATATTGATATCATCAATAAAATAGCTATTAATTCATTTACTCTTGCTCTAAAGAGTATTTTTCCCTTTTTAATTAATTTTGATTTTATAGCCGATTGAGTTTGCTTTATTTTTTCTATGCTGAAAATTCAATAATACTGGTTATACCTTTTCATTCAATTTCATTTCATATAACAATTATTATACTAACATTGACTTACCAACTCCTGTCTATCCAGTAATTAAAGTATTTTTTTATTCTTTAATTAATAATTAGATTATGTATTTAAATTTCAAGGTGTCTAATGTTTAAACAACAATACTGAAAAAAAGATTAATCTTTTACAAATTAAAATTCTTATAATTGAGATATTCATGATTAAAATGTAGTAAAATCATTTCCATTAACATACAAATAAAAGATGGTATCACCTTTCGGGTAGAGTAATGATTAAAATTTGTCTTTAACATATGTGGCAATCTAAAATAATAATTAATAGGAAATAATAAAATATATATTATGATATCTATAATTTAATTGAATGTTCCTAATAGTAATTTAAACAAAGTGAAAACTGTAACATTTCATTTAATTACATCTAGGATTTAATTTCTGCAGGTACCTAATCCCATCTATTTATAAACTCAAACAGACAGGGGCTAAATTCACTGCAAAATTAAGATAGTTGAAATAATATAAAACAATTTACCTTAACATTATATTTCTATTTATATGATGCAAACAATCCAAAAACACAACTATATGCAAATACACTTGTAATTTATTTTGGTAAATCAGTAGATTTCTAAACTAAAATGGACTTTAAAAAGTAAGTAAATATATTGCAAACACTCTTCACTCTCTATATCTCTATTGTAATATATGGTTCATCAAGATTAGCAAATTTCTCTTACAAAAATTTATATTAAGAATTAAATAAATTTCTTATTAAATCTAAATATTTTGGTTCTGTTTAGAGTTTAGAGTAATTTCTTTGACTTATCCTTTAATTGATTACAACTTTTAATTAAACCCTTCTCTTAATCATAGAATGTCTACTCGATCCAACTCTCTACATAATTGTACCAATTGATATCTGAAACAGTCATATAGACTATCCCAAATCTACTTATTTTGGCAGGTGAGACTACTAATAAATCCTGAACTTTAAATAGCATTCTTAATTCATGTCTCAATTTAATTCTTTATTTTAATACAATTAATATTAAATATAAAAATTAAATTACTGTAGCAGTTTCAATTCCTTATCTCTTTTAAGGTAATTCTTTATTTATTTTATCTACAGAATTCTTTTATTCAATGAATTCTTTAATTCTGATAACTTTGGCTTTAACATTTAAGATCTATTCTTAAACAATTATAAGTAAAGTTCCTCAAATTATGCCACTATTTAAGATTGCCTAGCATTTAATAATTTCTATATATTTGATAGTTTGACTCTTTGGAGTCCAATCTCTAATTATGGTATTAATTTCTATTGTAATATGTTATCTATCAATTAAGCACTCTTCAAAGTGCATTCAAATATCTTTGATTAATACTGTTCTCTTGTTTCCATATTAAATTCAAATATTAATTGAATTCTTATTAGAAAATCTCCGATTAAAAAAAATACTCAACTAATTCCTAAGAGGTTTCATGCATAAATATATTATTCAAAGGATGTTCTTTAATCCAATATTAGGGATTTAAATTAATAGAATCAGGTTATATCCATTTATCTCCAATAATTTCATCCCATTCTTCCAAAGCTTAAACATACTACAAGAAATCAGGATATTTGCTCCATCTCTCAATACCTTATATCTAATCCAATCCATCATAAAATGCCTCTTAAATTTTACTAAGGAATTCTCTTTTTGATGGATACACTTCTAATTATGTTTCATAAAGGTTTTAAACTTCTCTTTTTACATAAAAATTCAAGATCTTCTATTTAATCTTCCTATCGTTCTATTTATTGTTATTATTTAGAATTCTAATTATATTATTGTTTCTTTACTACTTTCTCATTAATTTGTTTAAATAATATGAATTTTAAATAATATTACTTTCTCCTCTTTTAATCTAATACACTCTGATAAATCAATATTTTTTTCTATTTTCAATGGCACATGATCATCATCTGATTATTTCTCTTAATTAATTTATGTACTTAATTTTTCAATAATAGTTTAAGTCCTGATAAAAAATTTTCTTTCATTTTCCTTGATTAAATTTAGATTTTCTCTATTCTATTATAATAAACTAAGTTCTTTCAAATTCTAGTATTAGTTTTTTTATCATTCAATACCTCTTCTATTTTATCTATATCTACAATTCTAAGTGCTTCTATAATAGATTTCTATGTGAAACTATTAATTTTTAATAGATTGGATTTAAATTAAACAACTTTTCACAAAGTTAAGCTTAAACTATAGAAGTTCTATGTAAATATAATATTTTTTGCCATTTCTTTAAAGTCTTCCATTTACAAAACTTCTTAAAAAAACTTAATGATTTAATTGCATTAAATTAATCTCTTACTTCTAATCAGGTATTTAATGAAACAAATTCAATTGTAAAAATTATTTTCTTGGCTGAAAATGTATAAAAATTATTAAGCTGATGCTTTTGAATATATGGATAATTAACTATCATCATATTATATGCATCATTTGAATGTTTCTTACTTTTTATCAAATACATAAATTCTTATTAACTTAATTTATGCTCTTTAATCATTTGAATAAATGCATCAACATCTTTCATTCCAAAATTGCCATCCTCTTCACCTGATTCCTCTTAGCTTTCTGAAACCTAAGATATAGATGTTTTATTCAAAATCTCTTTCCTCAATTATTATGCTCTAATTGTTTTCCTTGGAACTGTTCTATTTTCTATTATCTCTTGTCACAGTCATGCAAGTATTATCCAAAATGTTTCTTGGCAAACTTCTTTTGGTGGACTTGGAGGATTCATTCTTACAATCATTCGATCCATCAATTCATGCACCTTACAAGACATTAATAATTGTCTCTCATCTAAGAATATATTATTTGGTTAAATCAAAGTTTTATTTTGTTTTGGAAATGAGTCATTGTCTAAATTGAATCTAATCAATATTCCATTATTTCTGTTCTAAGATTTCTCTCAAGTTTGATTTAAACATGCTATTCCTGACATTTGATGAGAGAAACTACGTTCCGCACGTATAGAAGGCAATTTATCAGGTACCTTCTCAATCTTAATCATTGTCAGATTCATCTATACTCTGTTTGCTATCTTAGCAGTAAGTGGTCTCTTATTAGTATTGCTATAAGGTGGTTTCCCTCTATCAAAGAGACGACTGGCGAGCTTTATTTTAGAACTCTCTGGTTACATCCATAATTAATTTAAAATATGTATTATATTAAATACTAAGTACTAATACTATCTGATGATCAACCAAAAATAATATTTATCTTACCCCCTTAATCAATAATGATAATTCCAAATTCAATTAATTAACACAATCAATATCAAATTAATAAAATTTAAAGTAGATCAATAATCTATCATTTAAAACTATTGAATCAACCACAAAAATTTATTCTTATGTTATTTACTATCCACTATAATGTACAATCTACTCACTCATACATAGAATAATCAAAATCATTCCTTATACTAATCCATTATCTTCCAAAATTAATCCATCTTTTAATTCTCACAAATCCTTAAGTCATTTTCTACTAAAATTCCAAATTAAAAATATCTAATCCTTATTTAATCGTCTACAAAAAATTAATTGAAAGAACTTACATAAAAAGTTTCAAGAATCTTCATCTTTAATTATTTATTATCTTAAACATACATTGAATTAAAAATTAAGGCATCTCATCTTATAATGGTTCCCTTTTTTGCATTAGAATCTGATATTTTAATTATTAAATTATTTTATCTTTTTTTACCACAAGTTTGCGTTTATAATCATAAGTTAAAAATTTTTAATCTATTAGTAGACAGAAAACATTTTTTTATAAGTATATAACTTTAAAAATAACTTCTATGCATTTTTCATTAAATATCTCAATCAATTAAAAATGAGTATATTTTCATTCATTTATATATTAATCCATAGAAATTTAATTTTATACTAATTAAACTATCTTGGATTATATTTAAAATATGTATATACTTATTATAATCCATAATTAGAATGTATTATTTATAAATATATTATAAATTATCAATTCATTAATTATTTTAATCAAAATAATTGTTAGCATGATCGCCTCCCTTTAAAATACATAATGGTAAGAATACTTTTTGAGTTGTCTTTATAATACAAAATATAATTAACAAAATTAATTTCATATTTGGGATAATGGTTCAACTAATAATTTTTATTAATCTAGAGGTTGAGTTAATGGAGTGTGTTCTTCAAAATGTTTCAATTTTAAGTGCTATTTTAAGGCTGCTTTTGAGGAATAAGTGTGAGTGCAAATTGAACATTTAAATGGTTTTGTAATTGAATTTTTTCTTGAGATTCGTTTATTTATTACCTAATAAAATTAAATTACTACAAATATATAAATATAATAGTGAAGAAAGAATAATATATTAACATGTAAGTTCTATTATTACCTCATCATCAGAAATCTTTTTTTTAAGTTTTACAATACTTTTTTGTGTATTTTCAACTTAATATCTCAAGAACTACTGGAGTAGATGTGATTTTCTAACTTCAAGTTTATAATTGATTTTTTAATCATATTCTTGTTCTTAAACTAATTAGAATAAATATTTTTACTTTCATTATCTCCAATTGTTCTTGGAGTTGAGTGATCAATTGATTCTATGAACATTGATTTTTAATAAATTTAAACAATAATTTATTTATGCTTTTTATTTATTAAAGATCATTTAATTAATTTGAATGTGTTATTTATAAATTTATAAAAAATTGCAATTATTTGATAAATCATTTTTATGATGCTCTTTCAAGTATGTATTTGCATATAATTAAAGTATAAATAAGTTTCTAAAATATTTATATCATATATTAAATTAAAAAACTAGATTTTCCTGTTTTTTTAAAGAGATGATATAGCCAGTGTTAAAACTGAATTTATAGCTTAAATAAATTTAGATATGGCTACCCAAAAGTAAGATCTTCATTGAAAAATGTTTTATGTTTATTAAAGACAATCAAAATTATTATGAAAACTAAATGAGTTTTCTTAACTTATTATGTTTAGGTAATAAATTCAATTATTTTCACCATTTATCTATCTAATATAAAATCAAGATTTTTAATATATTGTTTTACCTAAAAATGATAATTTTATTTCAGGTCTAACTAGATAATCTATTATAAATATAGTATTTTAATTAAAATTGGTACTTATTTTTAAAGAGAGATCATATTTTCCAATAAAGTTATCTAAATGAAGTTAAATATTTGATTGAATCAATTTTAGATAATAATTATGATAAGTGTTAAGTTTAAAAACTATTTCAAACTCTTATTTTTAGTTAAGAATTTCCTTAAAATTGATATATAATTTTTAATAGTAGATAATCTAGATTATTATTATTGAAACTACCAATTATTTTTACATTGTTATAAACACATTAATTTTATATATTTTAAATAAAAGTGAATTAGAAATTTGAATCGTTTCTCAGGATAACACATGAGAATTAGTATCATGCTAATATTATGTTAAACATATACCCAAGAATAAAGAATTGACTTGGTACTTAACTCCATATATTTCATTGAATACTACATCTAAATAGGATAAATAGATCCTATAAATTAATCTGAAAATGGAATAAAGTAGATCATACATTTAAAAAAACAAAAATGGATTGGGTTAGAATTAGCATTAGTATTGGAATCTATCATATATTGAAGTTGAATTTTAGATAAAAATATTATATTTTAAACATTCTTAGATGAAGTTGCTTATTGATTTAATTAAAAGACATTAGAATTTGACTTAATTTAAAGATTATGTATATATAAAACAAGCATATAATCATTTTTATGATAAACTTTTATAATTTTATCATTAATTGCCATATTATCTTAATAATTATATCTGGTTTCTAAATTCATATCATTATTTATCAATAAATATTTCATCTTCTATAAATACTATTAAGTATAATAGTATAATATTTTGTTATTTGTTCATCATTTTGCAAATAAAAAATAATAATATATTGAAGTATTTATTTGTAATATTTTATAAAGAAAGAGAGCTTCTGTATGGTTAGTATATGATTATATAATGTTTATAGTATATTGATTAGTATAATAAATATTAAATATTGATATTGTATTAATTAATTTATTTTGGATGTCTTAAATCTTGAAGAAGGCAGCTAAATACAGAACTGTATCTACGATACTTCAACATGGGGAAGCTCATTTACGTGATCCATATACACTACCTCCTGAGATCATTACTCCACCTCCACGTAATTATTGTCAACATTAATAAATTTAGCCAGAAAAGAAAGAAAGCCAGATGATATTACTGATTTCCCAGAGTAAAAATTTGTACTTCTACCTGAATCCATCCCATATCCTGAAGGAAAGTACCGTCCTGCATCAGTACCTTATGTTTCTGGTTTCTATCCTTATAATTGTTATCTATAGAAGGGAAAGGTATTTTGAATTAGCTAAATTAAGATTTACCAATGGTGTTCATGTGGTATTTCATAATCAAATCCTTGGTGTGATGGAATGTGTAATGCATCAGCAACAAGAAATAGACCAATTAAATTCAATGTCGATACTTCTGGATATTATAAATTATGTAATTGCAAATAGAGTGCAAATGCTCCCTTCTGTAACGGAACACATAGGTAAAGAGTAGTTAAATTTCAAGATAAGTGATTCGTCAATATCATGCTGGTTTTAGAGGATTCTATGAACTTTGGGGATGGGCTGCCTTTATGGGAACAACAGGATTCATCATTTGGAATTTCCATAATTGAAAGCTAAATATCATTAGAACAACAATATTATCAAAAATAAAATTTCACTAACTTTGTTACCTTTAAATCACTCTTTCTTCAAACTTTTTCACTTAATATTTATATAAAAATTGCATAGATTGCTTAACAACTTATTTAGTAAAATATTAAATAAATATTTTCATATATAAATCTTTAAACTCAAGTCTTATTGAGCTTTTAGAAATATCTTATTCCATAAAAATCCCTCTCTCTAAATGCAAATATTTCATTTTATTTATTCCTCTTTTTATTGCAAAATCAAGTATCTTATTTTGGAAATCCCTTTGAATGAAAAATAAGAAAAAAGAATTAAAAAAATCAATCTCTTATCATATTCATAAAATAACTATTACCTTATATTCTTGAATAAAGCCTATATTAAATAATAGTAATTAATCAATTATAATATATTAATATAATAAAAATCATTTTATGAATATAAGATTCATTAATTTATCAATTGTTTTTGCTATCTTATGTAATGCTAATTTAGGTTGGTTGTCAACTAAAAGTTTGAAATGCATAATATGATCATTTAAGTAACTAAAAGAAAATACATCATTAATTTAATGACAAGTTTTCCAATTTATACAAATTACTTATACTTCATTGTATAATAAAGAAATTATGAAAATATATGGTTTTTTAAATGTCTTTATTTATAATCTAATTGGTTTTTATATTTTATTAGATAATTTTTATGTTTTTAATTAGTTTAAATTGGGAATTGTATGATATTGACTTAAATTTAAGAAGTTTTAAGTCTTAATTTTATGTATCATATAATAACATATACTAATAATATCTGAATGATTAAGCTTAGAATTCATATAATTAGTTTAATATTTGTAAAAGCCATCTGCTATATATAAATTAAGTAATTCTCTTAAATTAATTTATTCTTTGACTTCTGTAAATTTATTATATGAGAAATATTTCAACTCAATATTGAAATTAGATGTATTAGCATAATTGATGGCATCAAAAGGAAAGAATATACAAGTACGTTTTAAAAATTTTATCTATTCCTCATTCAATTTAGCTTCACTAATTATACTAGGGAATTTGTTATTATGTAAATTTAATTAATTTATTTTCCCTTTAAGAAGAGCAATACCTTTTAATTGATCAGTCTTTTATGAATATTTCATATAAAATTCAATATGTGATTCACCAACTCTTTCAATTCTAATATAACGTTAAAATAGGAGTTCTTATAGATTAATTTCTTTTTGATCAAATAGAAGAGACAAAAAACAATTTTATTATTTAGGATGTTATTCTAATGAAAAATTATTATTGATAATATTGACCCAAATTAATTTCTCTTTAACAATATATTATTCTTTATTTCCATTATCTAGATGATATTCAGTAAAATCAGTAACCAATTTAGTAAGACAAAAGAAATCATTTAAATAATAAGGAATAGCTGAAGATTAGGCCATTTGATTTTAAGCATAGATACTAGAAACAGCTGGTGAATGAAATTATGATATTTTATGTTAACTCCATCTATGATTTGATTTTTACATATTAACACTTTATCTAGGTGTGATATCTGTAAATGAATCTAAATCTTTAAAACTCATGATTGCTTATTTCTTATATATTATGATACTATCCATTAAATCTTTGCTGTCATTTTCTTTAAAATCTTCTGATTTCAATAGACCTAACATTTATCTAGTTGTTTTTGGAACATAAACTTTAACTATCCAAATGTCCAATAATAAATGTCTGTAAATTTAGATTATAACATAATCTATTATTTATTATTAATCATTTAATAGTTAAGAAATCTTATTATTTGATATTTTAATCAATTATCCAGTTGATATTGAATGTATCAAATAAGACTTTTTGATGTGAGTAACAATTAATCTACTATTTTTAATATAATGTTCTAAGAAGCCTTTGCAAAGATCAGATTTTTTGAATGTTGTATTTTCAGGGAAATTGCCTATTCTTCTAATTTATTGAACAGTAATTTTAGTAGAATGATCTTCATATGAATTATGTGTAAATTAACTTTCATTTTATTTTAGATCATCTTGATTAATAGCAAAAAATGGAACATAACTTAATGTAAATGTTCCTAAATGACAATTCTAAAATATATTCATAGCAGTTTAAACAATATTTGCATCAGTCATATTTTATGGTATATCTATCTTTAACATTTCTGTGATATCATATTTATTAAATATCATTTTCATCATTCCAGTTTTTAACATAATATTTTAAAAATCTATTCTCATTAAAAAATAATCATTCTCATTTAGAATATCTGGTTTTTAACATCTAAAGAACACTTTAATTGTTATTTAATATTTTCCATAATTTTTAATTTTCTAAACTATCACAAATTATTTCAAAGTAAAATATTTTAATAATACCATATAATTGTTTAAAATATAATAATGTAATACATTATAAGAAGGTATTTCTGCTAATTAGCTTTTTGATTTTTTATATTTCAATAATTCAAATCCATCAGATAATTATGAACTAATGAAAGATTATTTTAAAGCTCTTTGGCTTATTTTCTTATAAAGCATTTAAACAATCCAACAAGTAGGTCCATTTTAAATAAGTTAAATTATATTAGATAATATATTGTCTTCTTCATCAATAGGTGTGATTTGTAATCTTTACAATTTTTAATTATAATGGTAAATTAATATTATTTATTTATCAATCAAGGATATTTGAATAGCAAGATGTTTTAATTATATTCTATATTTTTTAATTTTATTTAGCTATAAGTTTTATTTACTAAAAAATTAAGACTCCAATTTTTCTAAATCATCATTATGTACATCAGTAAATGGATTTTCTTAATAAATTACAATGGGACCTACTTTTTTTGTATCAATTTCTTATTTTACTTCAGCATTATTATTTACTTAATATCGTTTTACTAAGTCAATTAAAGTAGTTTAATGAAAATGTTGTTATTCATTATTTGAAATATCTTCACCAAATATTTAAGCAAAATGTTTATCAAACATATGTTCTCTATTGTGAATAGTTTATGATTTAGATTAATAATCTAATTTTTTTTAGGTATCATCATAAATGTATCTTTCAATTTCTGTTATAGCAAAAGGTTTTACTTTAGTTTATAAATCAATGAGAAAACCTAATTTCATTCCACAAGCTTCCATTTTTTAAGCATCATGTAAGGAAAATATATTCATTTTAACTTAAAGTTACTTTTATTCATTAATCATCAATTTTTAATCTATAAATTCATAAAACATATTCAAACATTTCCTTTAAGAGAAAAATATTTAATTTATAATCTATTTTAAATTATTATGATATCTTTTTTCTAAGATCTTTTCTATTGCATCAAATTATAATCTTAATGGTTTAATCTTTAATGGACTATTAATTGCCTCAAATAATACATCCACTTAATATTTTGTATGGTAATCATTTTTTTTATAGTACAATATACTAATTCATTATTATTTATTATTACTTTTCTTTCTACAATATAATACTGACTCTTATAATAAAAAATATATTTTCTTCATCATTTGTTATACTTAAATTTCTTAGGTTTACTAATTATTTGTGTATCATATATTATTAATCCTTTTATTTATTTATCTTAAAATTTAATATTCTATTCAAAAGAATAATATTATTTTTTATACATTCTAATATATTAAATAATATAATACCTCCATAACTTCGAATTAATAAATGGAATTTATCTTTCTCATCACAAAGAGTTGATTATATTATCATTCTTCTATAAAGATTTACTACATTAATTAATTCTCTATAAGCATTCAAAGTCTTGTCTTTCTCTACTGTATATAATTTCAATCTAATCCCTGTAATATTGATTTATTCATATAAATAAGTTGTATACATCCATCTAAATAAATCTTTTAAGATTCCCATTTATTCTATTTCATTTTTAGCAAGTTCAAATTGATAATTAGGAAACTTAATAAAATTGTAATTATCACTTTTTCTATTACTCATTATTGAATTATAGTGCAAATACTATAAACATTAAGATGTTTATAATTAATATTCATTTACAAAAACATCAATAATCTAAGCCCAATTCTTAGTATTATCAATTTATAAATTTTATAATTTTGCCCTATATACAATCTTATTATTTGTTGTATCCTAAAATCCAATAAGAATATTATCAGATGATGTTACTTATAATCCACATTACCATAAAATTGTTCTACTATGATAGCACAATGAAAATTGAAATTTTGGAATATAAGCATTAGATTATTCCATAAAAAAGGTTGTTGCAGTCCTTAATGTTAATACATTCCTTCTTTAAGGTCGTTTAGCATTAATTTGAGGATTTTGTTATTGGAATAATAATGCCTATTATTATACTTACTAAGGTAGTGTAATTGTTATCTATGATTTAGTAGGTACACTTTCTAGACTAGATTTTTAAATGGCCTAACTAATTTGAGATGCTGCATCAGGTGAACTTACTACCATTCCACTTCTTCTTCTTTCTGAATTTAATGGATCTGGTTCTTTTTAGGATGGTATTTATTATATTACAGTTATAGAGAGTTATTATGGTTATTATTATTAACATTCTTTTTATTCTTTTTTTATTGATATTGTTTTTTATCTTCTTATAGATTTACCTAAATCAGCATTTTTTGGAGTTGAAGATGCACTAAGTTAGGCTATATCTAAAATTTATTGGAATCTAGAACTAATCAAATTCTTTAATTTATAGGGATTACTTAGAATATTAAGTTTATCAATTTTTCCTTAAGATGATTAAGAATGAGTAATACTGTGATCTTTACCTGAAATCTTGTGATCTGATTCAGTGGCTGGTTTAACAGGAGAAGGTAATTCTAGTATTGAATCTTGATGATCTTACTCAAAATCTTAAAATGTAAGTAAAGGCAATTCTTCTTAAGCAGAAACCTAGGTTTTGAATCTTTCTATGATAATAAATAAAATA